TCATTTCGTTCGGTCGGCTGGAGAGGTATTTATTTAGCAATAAATAGGCTGAAGCGGATTGCTAAAGTACAGGAGCGGTGTGTATTTCATTGAACTAGCTATATTAGCTATTGACTTCCAGAACTTATAGCAGCTGTAGCGCTGCAGAAAAATTAGATTTCGATATCCAATTTCATTTTAATTTGATATCACTTTGGTACTAACTTGACTGTATACTTTAAGTCGCTTTAAATGTGTATCAAGTGCTCGAAGTGTTTTTATTTGTCAATATATTCTTATACACAGATATTCAAATTTTATATAACTATTATTCACAAAAATATAGAAAATCATTTTAATTAAATACATATTTTTTTTATTTTTTGGTATCAAATTTATAATTGAATTGAATTAATTAATGTTGTGTCATTGTACAAAGGTCAGGCATTGCAGTTTTTTGAAAATGAAAAATCTAAGCTTATAAAATCGATAAATTGCTTATAATGAAATTATGTGTACTTATTCCCGATATTTTTAGAATCTTTACCAAAATAAACCCTGTAATGGTATGTAATAGGGGGAAAAATTGTGCAAGCAACATTTTTAGCCGGAGATATTTGAAGCGCAAAATCACGTCTGCACACGCTGACGCCGCGCACGTCCAACAAATGACGCGAAAAATTACACACTTTGATTCAGTTTGGTCCTGTTCGAGTGCTCTGCTATTATTTTAGATGTTTCATTGAATTGTTTACATTCTGTCACCTTTTTTACGCATACTTCAATCCCAAATAAACAAAGGCCTTACATATCCAAATATTTCGTCATATTGTTTCTATTTTTATGGTCCAAAATAGAATAGGGTATTCAAATATTTTATATAGCTACTTACTATGATGAAATGTATAATAAAATCCGTATAACGGTTTATTTGCGAGTTATAACCGTATGTTAATCTAAAGTATCCACCATATAAATCCTAGCACACCCCGGAGACCGTTGAAACGTATGGCTCTCGATTTACCAATTAGGTTGAGTTGAAGCTCATATTTCCGTGGAGGGTTTAAGTTACTATAGAACAAAAATTGGTCATTTACTATTTAAACCGCTTATTATTGCATAAACTTAGAGTATTTTTTTGGCAAAATCTTCGTATAATCATTACGTTTTCTGTGTTATCTATAAATGTAAGGAATTTGTTGAATATAGTATTCAATGGTAAGACGATGAATCACTTCTTTTAACAGAGTTGGTTAAATAAAACTAAAAATTAAAAATAGCTGGCTTTATGCTAATAAATATAAAAGGTTTTTCCATTTGAAGCCGTCGAGGAGAATTATTAAATTTATGCAGATCTTAATAAAATATGGAATAACATTAAACCGTAAAGAAATATTTAATATGTGTAAGTTATAGCAAATAAATGTTAAAAACCTAACTTTTAATATACGTGTATATCGAGAAAATATTTATAGGTTTAAAGAGAGTAAAGAAAATAAACAAATAAATCCATTGCAGTCAATAGGTATTGGGAATATAAATTTGAACGTATAGAAAATTGGGTTTAACGAGCATTTTATGTAAATTTTGAACAATAAAACAAAAAATCAATCTGAGCCATCAATACTATTGGAAACTGGTTTTTTTGTGATAATTATTCAATTTATATCTAATTGTTTCTAAACTATAATCTGCAAAGGTCAATGAATAAAAATAACAAATATATATACATATGTGTGTGTGGGTGTGTTACATGGAAATTTCTGATATTTCAATAATATCAAGAACAGCTTCAAATTTTAAAACGCTAACTTAAGTCTATTGAGAATAAGAAAATGATAATAAGTGGTATGACTTACGACATCTTTACTATACCTACTTATTATGTAGTATATTAATTGAGAAGACTTTTCTTACATATTCGACAATAAAAGATGTTCAGTGAGCATAACTAACTGGAACTATATGGGACCATTTATTATTACACTCAATAAGTACAAATAATATTTTAATTACAAAATTCATTTAAATATTCAATATCTTTCTTTTAAAGACCGTATAATTATATACATATGTAGTTAAGTTGATTTTGAGTACAATATAATTTAGGCGATTTTATTCCTGGTTTATGAAACTAAAGATTGTTGCATCTCAATATTTTTGGAGCATAAATAACAAAAAAAAGTACGTACATCTACATAATATCACTATTTCTTTATTTTTCAATTAATTAATAATAAAAAAATACACAACATTTTATTCTTTATTACGTCAAAGATAAATATATAGTATTAAAATCGTTTATAAATCTCCAACATTTTAACCACTAAGTACCAAAACAAGAATAAAAAATATAATTATAGGCTGAGCGTCGAAAAATGTTCCTTACTAAACGAAACACAAATTGAAAGACAATTTTATTATTCTGTTGACATATTAGGAAAGTTCTATAAATAAAAATATAAGTTTACAATATTTCAATACTGATTTCATATCAGTTATGCGTTTTATGAAATTGTTATTTCTTGAATATTATACATAACTCATATATAGGATAGTATAGGATAAGTCAGTGGTGGCCTAATGGTTAAAGGGTCCGCCTCTCGATGCCGAGGGCGCGGGTTCAAACCTGGCAAGTTCCAATGTGATTTTTCGGAGTCATATGTACTTTCTGAGAGTATTTAGACACCACTGACATACGGTGAAGGAAAACATCGTGAGGAAACCTGGACTTATAGTTCCACAATTATAACTTTGAAATCACCAACCCGTCTTGAGCAAGCGTGGTGATTAATGCTTAAACCTTCTCCATTTGAGAAAGAGGCCTTTGCTCAGCAGTGGGCGCTGATAGGCTGATGACGACGATGACGATATATAGGATGGCAACGAAACATACTTATATGTATATTGAAATACGAATTACATGTTAAGACTTATAACCTATACCTAAAACTACATGATTGGCCCGATGTTAGGATGACAATAACATTCTACTGCTTGTGTGGTGTAAGGAATCTTCTTGTTAACACGGCTTGGTGTTCGTTCCGCGGAGTCAGCGGCGTCACTCGATATATGATATTTTACCTATACAAAGATGTCGCCCCGGCGATGTTCATTTTTAACATACTTCTAATTATATAGCTATGGAAAAAATACAACGAAAATAATTAATTTAAGATATATTATAAAGTAAATATAATAAGTTACTTATCTTTGTTTTGATAAATATGTAATTATACGATGCTTTTCACCGTCTTTGTCATCAAGGTAAATAGTATAAAGCACGCGTCACGTCGTAACTCGTAATCAATATTCGGTAATCCCAATAGGATTAGTGTTAGATCATCTATAATAATTAATAAAACTGTAACACGTAGTGTCAATAAATCTGCATAATGTGAGGGTCGTAATTAATGCCATCAATTAATTAAATACTAACTGTAATCGGGGAGAGCTCTGCTTAAATTAATCCCATTATAAATTGTTTAGATTCGCTGTTATGTTATTCTGATTATCTCTTTTGTATGTTATATACTGGTTATGTATGTTATTGTTCTATGTAATTGGATATATAATTAAACCTAAAATCAAGAATCAAGATAAGCTAAGTTGGTAGTTTCTATGTAATGAAATGAAAATCTTCTTATACATATATAAAATTCTCATGTCGCGGTGTCAGACAGAGAACTCCTCCGAAACGGCTGGACCGATTTTGATGAAATGTTGTGAGCATGTTGAGTAGATCTGAGAATCGGCCAACATCTATTTTTCTTACCCCTAAGTCATTAGGGTTGTTCACCCTTAAATATTTTTTTTCTGACGTTTGTGTTCTTGTTTTTTTATAATTTAGCATTAAAAACTACGTACTACCCAAAATTTAATTTTTTTTTTATATGGCAAAACAACGTTTGCCGGGTCACACGGGTTACACAAAATTTTAATTGTAATGACGTAATCGTAATTTGAGCATATAATTTTAAATTACTAGATATTTTTAACATTCAAGAAAACTATAGAAATTTTTAGTATAAAATATCATGTATGTATCTATTCTTGTTTAATCTTGTATTTTTTTGTTATTGCATTTAAAAACTACATTTTTCTTTATAAACTTCGGTTGAGCCAGATTATATTCTGATTCATTGCATTTTAGTTGAAACGGGTACAAAGTTTTTCACGTGTTCATGTATTCGTAAATCCGTTGCAGAAATTAAGTTTTGCTCTTTCTATTTCACTATCTTGTGTGAGAATGAATGTCGGGTTTTATTTTTATATGAAAAGTCTATTTTGCACGTTTTTGTTTTTTTCTGTAACCAAGTTACGAGTATCATTCGTAGTATGTATATTATCTGAAATTGTAAATTTAATTCCTTATTGACGTTAAAAAATATTTTACATTTTCTTGCTGAATTCTTTTTAGCTTTTTAAAATAAAAAACATATTTTCTTACGTTTATAACATAATTAAAATATTTTTTTTCTTCATAAAGAACTGTGTCTTATATATAATTATTTATATAAAAAACATTTATATATTAACTTTGTTATTTTCATTGCATATCAATCGTTAATTAATTTGCTCCATTATTCCTCATGAACATGATAATAATCTCTAAGGATCCAAAGGAAAAATTTTACAACGAATACGTGAAGAATTTAATGAAATAATAAAATTAAATGCTTTCGGGTTACACATTAATCTAAAGTATACTCAAGCGACAATATGAAAAGTACTGTCCAATAAAGAAGTCTGATGAAAAATTATAATTATTAGGTCATGTCGCTCATAAATTAATGTATAAATGAAATTAATATTTTCAGATTATTAAGTATATTTTATTATTTTTAATAACTATATACTCCTTACGTTTCAGTTACTTTGCAGCATCTCGTCTGTCCGTGATCACGGTTGCTGCAAAGTAACCGAAACGTCGCGACATAAAATAGCGCGTAGTAATCCGAAAATATTAGTTTCATTTAAATGAATACTCCCGAGTCTTCGATTTCATACATTAACGTACATTGTATACCTTCTATAATGAGTATGTATGTTTGTCCTCAGAGTTATCCCCATTCATACGTCACTGGCAGCCTACGAGCTACGAGCCGGCGCGGAGGCGCGGGCGCAGGTCACTCACCCCCTCCCCGCAGCCCCCCACAGACATAAAGTTCTATTTCAAAGCCCATAACAGGTACGTACTTCATGAATTTCAATATATGAAAGCGGTGAATCAATATTTCAGGTCCATTAAGCGTAAAATGCGAACAAAGTACAATAAGTAACTGTGTGAAATCATATTATTTATTAATGATATATTAATTTAAACATCACATACGCAGCTATCTGTGTAAGCCGCAATATATAAAAACCAATTCCACTCAATTAACATATTTCCGTTAAAATTTTATACTATAAAAAATAGATGTTAAAAAATTTAAACCTTAATTTATTTTATTAATTCAATATGAGTTCTAATTATTTTAAAGCTGCAATATATTTGATGTTAGAAATGAAAAAAGCGTTGTTACAATATTGCCGCTGAAAAACAATTTATCTTCACAGCCATCCACCAATTCCATTTGCCGTTCAATAATTATTGAATAGAGGGTTCGCGTGACTCATCCACATATTATAACTATCTACCTTATCAGTCGCTTTGATGTGGCCGCTCTGTTAATTTATTACTCTGTAACAGCCAGCCGGACACAACTGTACGAACCAATCTATGAATTAAACAAAATTACTCAGTACTTGGTAGTTCGAAAGTTCGTTTCAATGAAAATATTTATTCAAATAAATGTATGTATATTTTTTGCACGATAAATGGAGCAAATCGAAGCCAAATTTACTAGCAACTAATATAATAATACCAGTCCAAAGATTGCGTAGATTTGAATTAGAACAATCCAATAATAATAATTAATGTCACTTACAATGTTTAAAATGCTGTAACGTCTTTATTGACATAATAATAATTATTATTCTCTTCTAATATCAGGTTTATAAGTAATTCTACATGAAAGTAATCTTATATTTTGAATTATATACAATGAATATCAATGGATTTAAATTTGTGTTTACGCTTACGTTGAAATTTAACACGATAATATAGCACATAACACTCCAACAATTACCGCATACAACTTACAAGCTTTATATTTGTGAATATTAAATAATTTTTATGGTTTCATAATTACAGAATGATTTACTTCAATTACAGATGGATTAAATTATAGAAATGTGTTTAAATCGTAGTCCCATATTAAGTTATACAGCAATAAATATATATTAATTGAAAAAATAGTTAAGGGAAAGTTGCAGACGGAAAAGGAAGCCGGTGAGTTTGCGAAAGTAAAAAAAAAAGTTAAGTCAGGGGAAATCAAAGATACATCAGACTAATAGGTTTGTATCAAGAACGTACCACAAACATCCATTCCCTTAATTAAAACATTCCCAATAGGAACGCCCTCACTCCTCGGTGTAAGAGATCGTTTAAACTAGCCTTTTTATCTATTCCATTTCAGGGTTATTCAATTAACTATATTGATGTTGTTCGCATGGGATTGTTAGCTCATGTCTCGGTTTATTTTAGTTATGACTTTCAAATAGGTTAAGACTAAGATACAATACATTTATGTTGTACATTTTCTGTTCAATATATCATATAAAAACATCAAAAATATGAGAAAAATTTACAAGCAAAATACCTAAAAGGCGTCTGATGTAAGTGCAATCTTAGATGACCGTAGTAAGAATTTTTATTTATAAAGAAGTACAGGTTTATGTTTACAAAGAACTCCAATGTGATGCTCAAGGAATTTTTCTGTCTATATATTGTAATAGGTTCAAAGTTCAAACGGTTTTCGCTCTATATGTAAATTGCAGGTAACTTAAAAGCAGACTCATGTGTTGTATCGAAAAAGTTCAATTTTTAAAGTTGTTCATTATATGTATATAGGAGACTGACGTCAAAGACGACATTGGCTTCAAATAATTAAAATATATTTAGGGAAAAGAAGCAAAGAAATATAAATATTATATATAAAAATAATTAAAAATAAACCTTGTGTATTAATAAGAAGTGTCCTTATTTTCTTTTATTTATGTCTATCAAGGTTTTCTTTATGTAATAGTTAGCTTTTTTCCAAAAAGTCACATGACAATATTTCCAGTACAATTAGATTTTGTAGAGAGAAAGACATACTTCGTTACTATTAGACAAAACTTTTATTTATATGTTCAATGTACATATGTGTTACAAAAAAAAAGGTTATAATTTTTAATCGATATTTGTTTTATTTAAGTAAGTACTTCTTAGACAGAAAATGTATTAAAATTATTTTCTTACAGTTGAAAGCAATTAAATACTAATTAAAGAATATGCTCACAAAAGCCGCAGTTTTATACCTAAATGTATTAAAATCTCCATGCATGTAAAATTGCAAATGTAAATCACTAATCATACAAAATAAAACAATTTTATATGTAACCAGTTATAATTGTAATTCTGTGCTTGAAATTATTGAAAAAAAATTGCTACGTATCAATAAATGCAATTATTTTTATGTTACATTGGTTTAAATAATTATGTTCCTTACATTTTAATATTCACAAATTGCAGACAATAAAAACTATTTACAACAAATTTAAATTCCGAAATATTAATCTGAAAAAAAAACTTATTAATTAAGTAAAAAATAATAATTAATTTGATTTAATGAATGAAAGAATGTGTTTTCAAAGCTTTTGTTGGCATTAATCGGTTTACCTATTTTCACATTCGGTCATAATACCTATATCGAACCTTAATTTCTTATCTACTACAGTTGTATACGCTTCAGGTAACGTCATTTCTCGTTTTTAAATTGAATGAAATGAAAACCAATAAGACAAAATTAAATACATTCGACCCCGTCCTCAACTTACTGACCTTTGAGTATTTTATTTGCTATCACAACAACATAATAATTATTTATTATATAACTGAAGACTTTGAATTTCATAAAAGAGGAAAAAATAAACATATTTTTGTATAAAATCCTGTCCCTTTTAGTTTTTTATTTCATTATAATCGTTCCAAACAATTCAAAGCTTGAATTTCACGTTTCATAACAATGTTGCATAAAATATAAAACACTAACCCCGCTGTAAAACACTGAATCCATTAAACAAAAGCTAAAGCTATTAAGGCAGCAGAACTGTGTTGCATTAGCCCCCAGGTTGCAAGGGGTGGATTAACCATCCTTCCAACCAATTGGGTTGAGTGCAGCTCTTTAAGCCGTCTGTATGCAACCGCTTAACAAACCAGAGGTAAACAAACGTTAAAATAACATTCCATACGTACAATAATATTTTTGTTATTCATTCTCTCATTTGTGGCGAACTTTAGGTAGCGTGACCCGAGTTTAATCGTACTTTCCGTTCACTCAACAAAAAGTCTTAACAACATCAGTGCGGGAATTCCTCTCAGAAGGTTAATCCCGGATATCTACGGGCGAAGTTTTTGTGACAAATTGTAAAAATATATCCCGAGGATAACGGACTTTGTGAAAACGAATATCCCTTAATGTTGGTGTCGGTTACATCATAAAAATATGCGTCCCTTGTCTACAGCAACAATGTCTGGACAATGTGAAAACGCTTTATTATATTATAGGTAGTATTTCAAACTTTGATAGCTACTTGTCTTACACTACGTAAACTATTCTAAGCTCACCAAATAGGCACTTATCACATTGACCGTTACCTAAGTAAAAAATCATGCAGCACTCTCAGTTTTACTTTAAATGTACGTTATGACAGGTCTTTTATGAGATGGCTTTAATATTGCCTTAAAAGTCGGGATAGAACGTCCCGGGACGAGCTAAAAGCCCGGCTTGTTACCAGAAATGAGTAATGGCTTCGGGAAATTGCGTTCCCTAATAACTTCTTTTCTGAGTTTTCAGTGTTGAGCCACACAAATAAGGACTGGCGAATGTCGGCCGAGCTCTTAATAAAACTTGATAATTTATTCTGTCACTTCAGCTTTGATTTCAAGACATTATTTATCATAAATATAGACTCGTTTCCATAATTCTACCTACAACGACTCTGTAAGAAAAATATTTTTGTTTTCTCGCCTGATAAATAATTTTATAGTGTTTAGGATTTAAAAAGAATTCACTTGAGCGCTATAAATTTATATAGGGTGTCCCAACTAGAACGCAATTTTTAAATTTTAAATAAAACACTGATATTAAAAAAATACCGTGAAACTTTATTATATCGTAAAGTAGATAGAATGAGGTTATGTATGGAACAAGATATCGTGCAGATGGCCGCCGCGGCTTTGCAGGCACACGCGCGAACTTTGAATGAAATTTTCTAGGACCGTTTTGTATAAATACTGCGGTATTTCATTAATACAGCGTCCAATTTCCTCTTTTAAGGCTTGAGTCGTCGTCGGCTTATTCGCGTGAACCATCGACTTCAAAAAAACCCCAAAGAAAATAATCTAAAGGTGTTAAATCGCACGGTCTCCAAAACGGGAAATAACATGACCAGGAAATGACTGATGCAGCAATTGAATTGTTTCTCTGGCTGTATGACATGTGGCGTCGACTTGTTGAAACCACATGCCGTCCACATTCATTTCTTCGATTCTAGGCAAGAAAAAACTGGTAATCATTTCACGATATCGAACACCATTAACTGTTTGCGTTGTTGTTGTTGTCTTTACATCACTAACAGACTCAGTTTCGGCAAATTTATTCATTAATCTCTTTACAGTTGACTCTTTTTGAGTAATTTGCGAACTGTAGCCGCAAAACTTTCACCATTTTGGTAAAACAATTTTACAATGAAAATGCGTTGTTCATTCGTGTAGCCCTCCATTTTTACAAACCTTGTACCTTCTACAAGCAAATAATAACAATTGTTCAAATGTCAAACAATGGCACTTAAAATGGAGCCAAAGTTAAAAATTGCGTTCTTGTTGGGACACCCGTTATAAATATTGCGTTGTATTACTTATTTGACGCTGCAACGATTTGGATTAAAAAAATATTTTTAGTCCACCTACTAAGTTTAAGCTTAATATTTAATTCAAACAATGGAGTTAATATCTTCATTAGTTTTAAAAGTACTAAACAATTTTATTAATTAGAACGAATAAAAATAAAATAACATTTTTACCAGCACCTTGCATACATATAGCAATTAAAATATATAATACCATTTAATATATGTATATAGGTTATTAAGAAATAATTCTTCTTATATACATCCAATATAATAATAAGATAAAATTCTTAATAAAACCGAAGTCAATTCATCGTAGCGCTAATACGAACCAAATCCGTAATATTCATCCCATTCAAAGTCTCTGAGGTCAAATAACTTCCTAAACTTATTCATTAATATTTATCAAAGGATCTTTTCGAATGATATCAATTAATACGGATATCGAATTTGGATTTTGATAGCTAATTCAATTAGACTGCACATCCAGTTAATATATACGGTAAATTAATTCATTAACGTACATATATCGATATAAATTAATTGGTTATATTTAATATAGTATAAACGCTGATTAATTTCATTTAGAGTTTATATTTATTTTGTAAGCTTAATTTATATCAAATGTATCGCAATTAGCATCTATTTACTTGATATTTGGCATGCGATGTATTTAGATAATAAATATTTACATGTAGTATTTTAATTATGTGTATTGATATGTACATTCAACATTCTAAATAAGTAATATATATACGAAATAGATGCTCTTAAGCCATTTTAAGGCGCCCACGTCTTTTAAATATTTGAAACAATTACACAAAAGCCTGATTGAAGACAAAGTCTCACTTTCCAATGAATATTACGTAATAATTCCAATCGTACGGATATTCAAGAACAATTATTTAGATCGGCTCTGGTTTATCCGAGAACAATAAATGTAATTAAATTTTTATGTTTCTTTTTTCATACAATTGTGTCTTGGAGTTCTGTTAATAGATTTTTAAGCTTATTATTTCTTTCTTTCAATATATAAAGTACATATATATTAGATATATCTAGTGAGAAACTAGTTTGTTAATACAATAAACAGTTGTAAAAGTATGAAAATTTTTAATCAGAGTCCTCCAATAACAACGAGGCGGTGGACAAAGAATAAGTCACAAGTTTTATATAACTGAGTTAGGTGAAACAGTTGGGAGTTTGTAACTTCATTATACGTTGGTCGTTAGCGACGCTTCCGATCAGTGTGATCTTTAATCAGAATTGTACTACAACTGACAATTGACCGACCAATGTTGAGGATTTTTCTTATATTAAACTAGTATTATTGTTTTAAAATATAATATTCCTTGATATTTTGAAGCCGAAGCTAATAAATTGTCGTCTTTCCATTGATAAATTTCATCAAGAACACGTTATTCGATGTAATTTAAATTCTTTAAAACATCAACAGTCTGTAGCTTGGTCTAGACTATCCGAGTGCACGTGATGTACTATCTAGCATCAATATATCAGGAAGCCGCTATACGTTATAACATAACAAAGATTTAGAACCAACACGTGAGCTTTATACCTTTCAAAATTAGTGCTAAATTTTCTTACTATCCCTAAGTTTCCTCCACCTACCCAAGTTAATGTATTCAATTCGCGACAGATGTACCGCTTATAAGAACTTCAACACTTCTATTCTATTAATTATTACTATTATAGAAAGCATTACAACATCGATTGTAGTTCTAACAGCCGTTGAAATAACTTTGAAACAATAATGATAAATCGTCTGAATTAATACAAACTAAACTTTAACTAACTCGTTTTAATCCAGAGATCGTTCGTTATAGAGATTTCTGTGATTTATAATTTTCTACATAACTTCTGAAATCTGAAACTACTACAAATTTTTCCTTTAAAAAACATAATACGATACAAATACTTCAAGTAATAACCTCGTATAATTAAAATTAAATTTCTTTTCTTTACGTTTTATGCATATTAAGTTCTATCATTGACTATGTAGTTAGTCGAGCACTAAGATCTTTAAGATGCGAGCAGCCAACGTTACCAATATATTAAAGCATGAAGGTGATAAAATATAGGTCAGCGCTGTAACGACGATAAATCAAGACATACTTTTATAGCAGTACGTGGTTGATATTGTAATTTATACACGAGTTAGGGAATATGTGAAAACTTACACGTAGGAAGAATTGAATCATCGACATCTGTAATATATATAGAACATTAAAAATATGTATATCTAAGGAATATTAAAAGTAATTTGATCTTAAAATAAATATTCTCAAAGAAATAATAGATCTATAGAAGTTTTATTATACATTTTGTTTGTTTCAGGGAATTCAGGCTGATTCTTCATCCTGACCCAAGCTCCGTGTTCGCTGAAGGGGTGCAGTTCCATTCATCAGCCGGCCCCATAGATTACAATACTGCTAGTGTCTACTCCGGAAAACTAGAAGGTATTAGCCATTTTAATCTTATGTTATATTATAAGATCTATCTCCATAGATCTCAGTACATAACGTAGATCTCCATAGATCTCAGTAATTCGAAATTCTATTCGGTATTAGAATGGATTTTAGGAAGGAATTATTCTTTCAGTTTAGAAGTATGTTGGACAAGTTTTATATTCGTGATAATTTCACACAAAATCCGATGGTAGCTATTTAGATATTTTCTGTAACCTACCCATATTATATAATTCTGTTTACGTATACAATTAGTATAATCAACAAAATTTTGTGTCGCTACAGAAGACGATATTATTAAAACTTTAAAGTTCAGATTTACTGTTAGTCTGTCATGTTTAAAATAAAACAATAATTAATTGTATGAATCCTATGTAACGAATATGAGAGATATTTTACGCTCATGATTGCCCTGTTTTTTTATCGCCCTGCTAAGAACTTTGATTATATTAAACGATATTCTGACACATGTTTTAAAATATTTCTTTTTTAATATTTTGATTTAGTTTTGAACATGGGCAGGAATGTGAGTTCACTCTGACTTCTTTTCAAAAGTATTATACGACATGGGGCCATGTGCCATCTTCACGGTTTTACTAACGCACTTTACTCTGTAAAGTTAAATATCCTTTACATAATCCACATAGTTTTCAATGTAAACCACTTGTGTTTCACTTCTAACCACGCACTCCCAACGCACGGCGGTGGAATGTTTAGGAAGAATATTGTTTTGTCTGAAAACAATAATTTAACCCAATTATAGGGCTTCTCTACAAGCAATACTTTTCTTATTCTATTTTTCCATTCATCGACTGTTCACTGTTACGATTTAATGTTAGATGGTTTGCGCAGCCCACATTCATCTCTTTAAAAGGATCAAATGTATTAAAAAGTTGATTTATAAAATTATCAAACTGTGAAAAAAATACTAAGCGTGGCATATTACACGGGTTTTTATTTGAATTTCCACCGAGTTAAACCTCATTAAACACAAAAATATTCAACCGTTATGTTAATTAATGAATAGGTAATAAAGTAGATGGTTAATTTTATTCGATCTGATGGTTTTGTGGAATTATTGAAATTTAAAGTACTTCCAACTGAAATTCAACATATAACTTGACCGAGCCATAATTGCGAAATAGTATTTGCAGTCAATGTTATTATTTGACAAACTAATCGGAGTTGTTCAAACAGTATATATTGGGGTTCAGACAAATGTCATCTGGGAATTAATGATGGAAGTAACAAATGGAACGCGGTGATATCATTATCATACACTATGTTCGAGGCGTATGATGTCAATTTGTTATTTAATTACACCGTACGTATATATTTTAGTTCATTAGTGTATTAGACGTGATATATAAGGAAGTAAACATGATAATTAAACGCTATTCATCGGCTTATTTCATACTGGCATCTATGACACGTGAGAGACGAAAACAAGGATATTGACAGGCATCAGGAAACTAACGGAGTGTAATTTTTGATGTACTGAAGCGGTTCTAATTTGAATTTATTTATTTATTTCAAACTAGCTTTTGCTTGCGAATTAGTTGACGCGTCGAAATTGATTTTAAATAGAAATAAATAGTATGTGCTTAAAAAACGTCTATCAACTTAATTATGTGACGTACAAGCACAATACACCTTTATAATATATTACCTCGAGAACTACACGGAATTTAGACACAATGTACCTACATTATTTTTTCATATCTTATTCTTTTTGATTGAAAATCATATGTTATTGCCGGTTACAAGTTGTCAACAACTGGCCTTAATAACTGAATAACATTTTATAACCCTCGCGCACTTTAAATATAACGGGATTTTAAAAATGAAATTTTAATAAAAAGATCTCTTTCTTTTAATTATTTTTCTATACAAACCTCGCCCTGACAATAACGAATAAAAAAAAAACCAATTTGAAAAAAAATATCCAATTTGGAGCGGTCCATCGGAAGTTCGCGTACATACATATCGGTGATTAATTTTTATTTATATAGATTATTCGTTTATGAAATTTAATCTCGATACATTTCGTTACTGTATAAAAGTGAGCATTTGATTTAGAAATAATAATTCAATAAGAAGTGATCAAAAGATGCTTCTATCGCAATTAACCTCACATTCATCTCATCATGTAAATTGACGTCATATATATATATATATATATATATATTTAAATATATTTTCTTGTTTTTTCATACAGTAAACGAGTCAAAGCAGATAAGACTTATACGTTTTTGGTTCATGTCTTGTAAATAGTGTTTTAATTCCTCGCACGCTTCACAGATGTTAGATTATAATCTCTCAAGCCTACGAGTGATACGTATCTTAATGTCAAAGCAATCAGATCCAATAAAGACACAAGATGTTTAAGTGCTTGTTATAACTTTCTAAGAACTTCCTCACGATCTGTCCTTTATTATTTTAACTGACATGTAAGGTTACCGTATTATATCTATGTTATAACTGTCTCTAATGATCCGCTTTAATTATATTTAAACTTCTAAAATCTGACTCTTTAATAAGTTAAACTGAGGATGACTTCTATATTGCGTAACAAACTTAATAAAATTAAATTACAAGGTGCGACCCATCTGGTACATTCGAGACAAAGTGAGTTTTGATAAAATTAGCTCACAAGTTTAATGGAGTATGCTTCTTCGAAGTTTGACTTCCCTTGTCTTTGGCGGCGCAACGCAAACTCATTTAAATAATAAATACTTTTATAATTACTCGTTTATATGGTGGGGAAGTTTATAAGGGCGGATGTTTTTATTCGTCTATATACATTAAACTCAGTTCCTTTATAACAATAATGGGTATATTTCTTAGGTTTGCTAACAAAAAGAGAATTTTAAATATGTCTTATATTAAAATTTAACTTATTATTAAAAAACATTTAAGTCGTTTTTATCGTAAATTTATCACATCGTATGCTTTATAACATTAGGAGGATTTTTCTTAACTATAACTACTTATTAAAATAAAATAAAATCCAGTTTTTAAGAAATACAAAAAAATCTCTTTCAACTAATTAAATACTGTCCGTTTTATCAATAAAATAAATGCTAGCGAGCTATCAAGTGTTGTAATTATGGTTATTTATAGGCGGTTTCCAACCCTCCCTCAACCATAGCTAGTTGTGATTTTAATACATTGGGAGACTCCGGCTCTTTGCACCTCTAATTAGTTTGTATAATATATAGCACTTCATTTATTTTCAACAACCGTTACTTACTTGATTCAAAGATTTATTTGCAAAATTAATTGTTATTATTTAATTATAGTAAATTAGAAATTGTTATTTTAAAAGATTCTAAAATATCTTAACATAGTAATTGTGGTATGATAGTAATATTTTTATTTCAGACGACGACTCTTCTCACGTATATGGCGTGATAACAGCTGAAGGTCTTTTCGATGGCACCATATGGACTCAAAATGAAGAATATTATGTTGAGCCACTCTCCCGCTATGATATCGAGCACCCTTCAATGCACAGCGTCATATACAGGCGATCAGACGTAGAACATCCACATGCGAACAGTGAAACGTCACACTGCGCCTCTCATTTACTACACATGAAGACTAAACAAGGGTATGAAGGGGACCTATTCAACTTCACCGATCAAGTATCCCTCAAGAGAGTACCATTCAGCAATAGTACGGAAGACTTGAAAACTGAAATCAACAGGCGGAAGAAGCGATGGCTTCCCGAAGACGAAATGCAAGACGACGAGCCAAAGAAGAATCCCGAATTACCTTTAGATTTAGACGTCCCGTACACCAGTAATAGCGATCCATTTGATAAGTTTAGCACGAGAAAACCAAAAACTAAAATCGATAAAAGTAATCTCATAACGAAAGTTAGACTCGATTCAGAGGAGTCTCGACCCAAACCAAAGACGCACGTGGAGCTTATAAAAACAAAAGCCGGTGTAGTGACTGTTAGTAAGGACGTTGTTAAAAAGGAACCGGTCGGTTATACAATACTGTCGGCGAACGCTACCGACGACGGCAGGCACGTCAACAAACGAGCCACGGTTGATCCGAGGAAGACCACATGCTTAGTGTACCTACAAGCGGATCACATGTTCTACCAAAGATACGGATCTGAGGAAGCGTGTATAGAAGTCATGACGAGACATGTCCAGAAAGTTAACGCGATATACAAAGTTACAGGTAAAATTTTTTGCATATAAAGAGTAGAGTTTGTCATAAAGTTACTATATAACATATACCTATACATTTTCCACTTATAAATAATTCAAATAATACAATACGAAGCAATAGTGCAGTAATCAGAATATAGTTGAATTAAACCATATAAAAAATAATAGTTAAAAAACAATTATTTATATATATATATATATATATATATATATATATACATATAAGATTAATATTATAACATAATATATGCAAGATTTTATTATATACTTTATTTAAGTTATTCGTGAAAATAAATTAGTTTTATATTGTACCAGATTTCAATCAAGATGGTAAGCCGGATAACATCACGTTCATGATTAAAAGGATTAAAGTGCACACGCTAGACGCCCTCAAAGATCCAGCTTATAGATTCCCAAACAACTACGGCGTGGAAAAATATTTGGAACTGTTTTCAGGTAAATGGAAAAATTTATAACAATCAAGTTTAGGTTTAAGACCAAAAAATAATTCTTTTTATGGGATATATCGAATTCAAGAAATCCTTATGCGATAACATTTTCATTCCCCACCCTATTTCTCAGCAATGCGTGGGATAACTTCAATTATACGTAACAAAATCATATCAGGATGTGTGTGTCCTTAATATCAGAGAAAATCAAATTGTTATTTAATGAAATCTTAAACATATTTCGTTTATTCCGTACATTTTCGCTTCTAGAAATATGATTATTTTTGAAACTGGAATGGTATATCGAGACTTAAAAATTTGAACATACTCAAGGTTTTGCGACGAGTAAAGAGAATAAAGTCCAAAAAAAATTACAATCTAAATTAGACTTAACCTTTTATAAGTTAGAGGCGATATTTTCACCACCATGATTTTTTTTTAATCGAAATTTCATCCACCGGTCGTATTTTTTTATTCAGGCTACTTTTATGATTGTCAATAGACAGTTAGATAATGAAAGGTTTGACAAACATATATTTATCAAACCTTTATGTATATAACATATGTCTTTACTTCTATTATATACCCTTAACCAATATAAATTTTGTTTTTCCACTGTCCACTCCTTATGACCGTTAAAGGGTTAAGTCATATTTAATATTATTATTATCAGCCTTTCAGAATCCACTGCTGAGTAAAGGCCTCTTCTTAAATAGAGAATGTTTAATATATTTTGTAATAATTTTAACAGAGGAAGATTATGACGCGTTTTGTTTGGCGTACATGTTCACTTACCGTGATTTCGAGATGGGTACCCTGGGTCTAGCTTGGACGGGAGACCTCAAAAACGCTGGTGGGGTCTGTGAGAAAAACGGAGTAAGTTGATCTCTTGATAATGGACCATGAAAAACATTTATCATCACTGCTAGTATATATACATACTTAGCAATTTCTTAAATGTCTTGTCCTTTAAAAAGAACAATTTATTAATTTAAATCATTAATGTAGTAAGAATTGTCATTAATCAGAGTTAAAATTTCATTCATCAAAACGATTAAGTTTAGTAACTAACCCAGACTTCTTGCAATGAAGTATATACATATATAAAATGTAATGAAAAACATGAAATACTTTAAGTGTAGTACATTTTTAACATGTAAAACTTCTTACAGCACTACCGAGGTAGTATGAAGTCTCTGAACACGGGTATAGTGACGTTACTGAACTACGGTAAACACGTGCCGCCGGCTGTATCTCACGTCACACTCGCCCATGAGATAGGACACAACTTCGGGTCGCCGGTGAGACATAACATATACATATACACAACTAGACATATGTACATACACTGGCGGCCAAAAGTTTGAGAACACTCTCATCAAATAATAAAAATGAAATAAAACAAAAATTTAGAAGAAGATTTTTACAAGTGGTCTCAAACTTTTGGCAGGCAGTGTATATATATACAAATGCCACAAAGTTTTCAATATTTTTAAATTTTACTGATAGCTATTGTTTTCTAGTGACCTATTATTATTCAAAATTTGTGGGTGCTTATATGCTTTTGTATGTCTGAAGTTGTAAAATTTCTGTTTAGTTAATATTTTTATTACCATAATGTCCTTACTATTTATAATTCTAAAACGTATATAAATTTTAAGTCGCAACTTTCAATATCTCATTTATTTAACATATTTATACAATATGTATTTATATTTTAATAGCACGATCCGGAAATGTGTACTCCATTCGGCGAAGACGGTAACTACATAATGTTCGCTCGCGCTACAAGCGGCGATCGTAAGAACAATAACAAATTCTCGCCGTGTTCATTGAGAGCCATAGACCCAGTACTGAACAATAAGGCTCGCTCACCCAAAGGATGTTTCACTGGTAATACATTCATTCACACTTGTATTATACATTTCTATGTTATACACTCGAACGTATTTACTTTTTACCATTTCGATAACTATTCTATATTTAGTATACAATCACAATCGACATTTGTTAACATTTGAAATAAATATGAAGTGTTTTTATGCCATTGTTCCATTATAGCAAAAAATGCTACAAACTTCATAGATTGCTAAACAATCATTACATTTTCAATGAATGACAAATGAATGTGTTTTTTGTTAACAAAAAGACTCAAAGAACTCAAAAAAAAATCCTTTCTAATAATAGAATTTTGCAGGATAATTATTCGAAAAATAATGTGAAAGTATTCTTAATCCTACTAATATTATAATTGCGAAAGTTTGTGAGTGTGTGTGTATGTTTGTTACTTCTTCACGCTCAAACGGCTGAACCGATTTTGATAAAATTTTGTATATAGGAAGCTGACGTCCAGGAATTACATATAGGCTACGTTACATTAATAACGTGTCCTTTTTATCAGAACCTCAGCCCGCTATATGCGGTAACGGTGTAGTTGAGGACGGTGAGGAGTGTGATTGCGGCTGGGCGGCCGAGTGTACGGACGTCTGCTGCCGACCCCAAGCAGCTCGACCTCACTACAAGCCCTGCACCCTCACTGAACATAGCGTGTGCAGTCCTAGTCAGGTAATTACAATAGACTATAGAGGACTATACATATAGTCAGTGGTGGCCTAGTGCTTAAAGCCCGCCTCTCATGCATGACGGCACAGGTTCGATCCTGGCAAGTACCAATGTGATTTTTCCAAGTCATATGTACATAAGATTATTCAGACATCACTGATTAGTGCATTCCCAAAGAGGGTTGATGTCAGGCAGGCAGCCGGTCGTAAAAACAATTAGCCAAAACTATTCACTAAATACAAGGCAGACCCTGGCTAAAGCTGGGAAATTGCCAGGTAGAAGATTATAGAGGGCTATACAATAGGAGATTTTTGGATTATGAACATTTAAAACTCACCTCATTTTATACTACTTCTACATCCACCTAGTGATTTTCCCAGCTTTATCCAGGGTTTAATAGAATGAGATTATTTGGAATTATATGTTTACTGTATGTAATCAATCTGATAACTTTACTAATGATTAGACATTAAGGTTTTTTTTAATAACTTATCTGATTATGTTTTTGTTTGCCAAAATTTTTCTCGTGTTTTTTTAATCTCAGCTGAAACTAAATCAAATATAAATGTTTATGTATTTATTATATTTGTATATATTTATGTATATATCTATATAAGTATTATATCTGAATTTTGCACTATTATAATCTGGTTTGTATTCTTATATATATCTTTATAACTCTTTTTTTTTTCCTTCTCTCATTTTATTGTACCTATTCCACATTTCTCTTCTCATTTCCTCTATCAAAAGAGTTTTTGGTAGAGATCTCTTTTAATAGATAAGTTATCCTTTTGTACATCACATTTCTTTTATAATACTTTAATTGTAACTTTTTTTCTTTTTGGTACATAAATAAATAAATCAAGTTATAACTAATATGATAATTTTAATATCTTCCAGGGTCCATGCTGCACCGCCTCTTGTACGTTGAAGTTCGGTGACAAGTGTCGTTCTGATAACGGTTGTCGTGACGCTGCTCATTGTGACGGTAAGCGGGCAGCCTGCCCCGCTAGCAGACACAAGCCGAACCGAACGAGATGCGACAAGGAACTCGTCTGCTTTATGGGAGTAAGTACTTAATGTGGAATATAAATTACTATATAACAACGAATAAATCCTCCATAAAACTCAATATAAATACATTCTAAACTAAATGGTAGCTTAGCGTAAATGATCCATAGAAATAAAAAAAATGTATAAAGTTTATTTATGTATTTATTTTCATTTTAATTTCGTAAAAAAAATCGATCAATATCATATAATTTTCTTTTTATTAAGATCATGTTGGATTTAATAAATAATATTGTAATTAGCCATCAAAGTCAATTAACTCACGAATACGAAATAATTCACCTTGAAACAGTACTACTAATGTAACCTTCAATCGTTTCCAGGAATGCACAGGTTCTATCTGCCTGGCGTATGGTCTTGAGTCGTGTCAGTGCGCCGCCCGCAAAGACGATCCTCGTTCTGCCTGTGAGCTATGCTGCAGAAAACCTTCCGGACCCTGCGTGTCATCATTCCATTGGAACACCGCGCCTTACGACGTACCAGACATGTACGCTAAACCTGGCACACCATGCAACGATTACAATGGGTAAAGATCATTCAAACATCTTCTTCTTTCTGCCAATTTCCCAGTTTTAGCCGGGGTCTGCCTTACATGTTGTGAATAGTTTTGGCTAATTGTTTTTACGACTACGCCTGCCTGACATCAACCCTCTTTGGGAAAAAAATAAAATCATTATTCAAACTATTCAAATACTAACTATGATAGCTCTTGTCCACGACTTTATTTGGACTTCCGAATTGTATTGAAAGCGAAATATATTTATTAATTACAAAGATATGACAAACAACTCTCTGCGCTATTTTTCGTTCGTAACACGTGATTTTATGTAAAAAAATATATATTCTTCCGATAATACATGGAATTTTGGGTCAAATGTCTTCTATATACTATTCTGATGACTTGGTCGCATTACTGGGAATTTTTATCGAAGTCTTAGCAGTAGTATCAACAAGAAACATCCAAGCATTACATTACTAGTACAAAAATAGTCCAAACTCAAACTCAAATAACTTTATTCAATATAGAAGCATTACATTTTCGTATTGATGGTCACTTCAGACACTACCACCGGTTCGGAAAAGAAAATACTCTGACCTGTGAAGAACCGGCGAAATAATATCTCATGCTACATTTAACATATATCCTCATTCTTTCAGATACTGCGATGTGTTCCAACGTTGTCGCGAGGTGGATCCTTCTGGTCCGCTGGCGACGCTGCGTCGTCTCCTTCTGTCAGATGAATCTCTGGCCGGGTTCAGACGGTGGATGCTGCGTCACTGGTACGCCGTGCTGCTCATACTGCTCGCTGTTATAGCGCTGCTGGTAAGTTATGCTGACCGTTATAACAGCATATATATACTAGAAGACCCGGCGAACTTCGTATCGCCCTATAATCAAGAAATATCTATTACGTTTTTTTATTTATATTTTTGGAGTTTACCCATTAAAGCTATAAAATTATCTCCGTGTTTTGAAGTGCGACAGAATGATTGACATATTAGTTAGTTGTCAAATCTAATGTCAAAAAAAACGTTGTTTGTTATATATAGAGTGAGACGGGATGAATCCTGTTAGCATTCAATGGATTCACCGTACGGGTGCCGGGTCCATATATGATTAAAACTACGTATATCTTAGTAATAACAATATTAAACAACAATATATTTGAATTTATGTAGATGATATATCTATTATAATGGATTTTGTCATATAAAAAATATTAATCATAGTAATTTCAAATTTTAAACATTCATAAGAGTAAGTCTGTATTTGTAAATATTTACTTATTATATTTTAATGCGCTTATATATTTTGAGTTTATGACCGGACATCATAAAGGATATATAACTCTATGTTTACTTAATGTATTATGTTAAAATATATATTATTTTTGTTCTCTAGCGCTGCTACAGAGCTCTCAAGGTCCTTGATTCAGCCATACAGAATGCCGAAAAAAATAACTAAATATCTTTCACGCTTCATTCGTCTTAGGTATTGATTGTTGGAACGAGTAGGCTAACAAAAAACTACGTACAGCGCTAGAAATTTCATGTTATGCTATATTAATGTTGTAGTAACGCTATATTTTAAATGTATTTCAGTATTACTCTCAATAATATGTCGTACCAGCTGTGCCCCGCGGTGTTACCCGCGGATTTCCGGGATGTAAAGTAGCCTCTATGTTATTCCTGGACGTCAGCTTCCTGTATACAAAATTTTATCAAAATCGGTTCAACCGTTTGAGTGTGAAGAAGTAACAAACATACACACACACTCACAAACTTTCTCAATTATAATATTAGTAGTATAACGTGTTTTTCCGTGTACAGGTCGCTAGCACCCGTTTCTTCGGCCGTAACGCTAAGAAGATCAAGTCAGTAACAATAATACATTCGTCAACTACTGAAACCGTTCGTCTTCCGGACGCTACGGACCAGGGACTCATAGTGCACACTGCTGTGAGGTTAGTTACAGATATCTTTAATATATACAAATAACTTTAACATTAAAGCAATTTGGAAGTACATCATATAGTATAAAGAGAATAAAAATTTGTATATAGCTACTAAGACGTGATATTCCAGAGTTTTTGATGTTACATTCCTACTCACGGTGAAAAACTTTCATTCGATACTTCATGTTTGAATATCGATTTTAATTGAATAATGTTAAATTAGTAGTACTAAGTAAAGTTCAATTAGTGATCGTTTTATTTAAAAGTTATTATATCCGAAGATTACTAACAGCTGTGAATTTCTTTAATATTTTCTTATATTAATAGTTTCTTCAATAGTTTACCAAACCAAAAATCTTGATTAAAATTATATAATAATTTGTAAACACATATCTCAAGTCACAATCTAGACAAGATTATCAATTCGCTATTAAACTTATTATATAATATTTTTATTTCATTCTACAGATCAAAGCTGCCCCTGAAAAAGAAAGTAGCGCTTAGAACACGAGGCTATAGAGGCAAAAAGGAAATACAGAAACAGGGCGACAAGGCGTCTCCGTCACATAACATTAAGAAGAGGGTGAGTTTCATGAAAATCAGTTCATCGTTTTATAATTTGTTAATATACAACTGTGGTTCATTGTTGGAAATTTCAGAAGCCGAACGGTACTCCAAAGATTGACGACACCCATAAAGAAAACACAGCAATTGTAACAAATGCTGAAGGAAAATCACCGAAACACGTCATCCTATCGAAACATAAGAAAGTTAAAAAACGAAAAGTTAAAGTCAAGAAAGAAACCATCGACTACAGCTCAATGCAGAAACATTCCTCGAGTACACCGCCCAAGGACACTGAAGCTTTAACTAAAGTACAGAAATGGCTTCTGAGTTCACCACAACCCACTGCCATACCTAAGTCTAAGTCAATTCCCGTAGGTCTTACTGAGAGAACTCATAGGCAAGTATCGAAAGGTAGAAAAACTCGACCGTCCAAAAGTGCAACAAATCTTCTCTCTGGCGAAAAAGCCAGACTGCAGGTTGTTTTCAAACCTCCATTTAGGTTTAGTGTTAAAATCTGTAAGAGTGACAAGACTAAGGTTGTACTCGATAAGTCTTCGAAGCCCGACGTAGAAAGGAAACGTCAAGATACTCTGCCACAGGCGACCTGTCCGGCCGAAGTGACCAACACGAACCCAAAGCTTCTCAGACAAACCTCGAAAACTACTGACAACGGAAACATTCCAAAAACAGAAGTAGGTAACAAAGAGAAAGACTGCCATGGATATGAAAATTTACTGCCAAGAAGTGCCAGCGACTGTAAGGTCGCTAAAAAAGTACCAGATTTAAAAAATAGATCGGGACATAAGAAGAGCAACTCGGTGGGGCAAAAACGAGAAACTACTGAAAGTAGACAGAATCTTATTTCACAAGAGGACTGCGATAATGTACACGTGTATGAGAACTTACTACTGACAGAGGATACCTTCACACCCAAGAGTTGTAGCATGCCGCGACGACAAACATCCGCCGGGATATCACGACAGAGCAGCTACGGACATCTACCTCGAGCTCAGATCCGCCCACATAGACATAGCACCAACAACGTGAACCGTTCAAGGAATAACAGCACCAACGAACAAGAACCCTTCTATAATATAATAGAGACGTTGAGGAAAGACAAAACGAGCGGGAACAAAGGGAACACGTCCAATACTAACACCAGTAGTTCCTCCGGCAGTGCAAGGGACGAGTCCAGGATAAGTAGATCCTCGCGACAGAACAGTCTAGTTGACAAGCCGTCTCGCTCTAACGTCAGTGAAGCTCCTAAAAAACTATGTCGCCAATCAAGCGAGGCGGAGTTAGGGAAGCAGGCGAATGACAAGAATTTACGGGGCTTTCAGCTAGTTGTGGGGAAAGACAAGCTGAAACGGCAACTGAGCGACAATGAACTGAGTCGATCGAGGATGCAATTAGCGATGCCGATGTCAGCCGGCGCTGAGCCCAGGCGAGCCTTCTGTTGGAGCAAGCGAGCGAGTCTCGACTGTGAAGCCTCACTACCTACCACAAGGCCCAACAAGAGGACCACGTACACCTTCGGCGAACTCAAGAACACCGTCCCCAACTCAATCGAAGCCGCAGCCGTTGATGGCATACAGATCTCGCCCGAAGATTTCCTTAAAATTATCGACAATTAATCAACCAGGTATTAGTATGGAAGGAGTTATTAATCGATGTGTATATTATCTATCGGCTGGTGTAAATATTGTATGTGCTTCTACTGTTAAGATTATTACGCGCCACTGAAACAGGCCATTGCTCAGTTCCCTTATTATCTATTGTGTGGGATCTATTTACTATATTAAATTAATAACTCATCAATTCGTTTAATGTGTATGACCATTTCTTATTTAATAAAACCAAGTGAGATTTCCTGGGAAAATTTTAATGTTTAAAAGCTTCCAAATAAAATATTTTTGTAGTATAACCCTAGTTATTAAGGTATGTTTACTAATGAACAAATATTATTAGATTGTAGGATGATCGTGCTAATTCCAAAATTTAAATAAAAATCACATTGTAATATCTTCTATGAATACCTCAAATTAATTTTAAATGCATTTGAAATATTGGACAAGGTTTATTGAAGTTCAAAATTCATTATTAATTAATGTAATACCAACATTTATATTTATTATGAACAAGTTATTTTTATTGCTGGCAATGGTTTTGTTTCACTGTATTTCTAAAAACGAATCTCTATTTTTTCTACATACTATGTACCTATTGTACAAATTTACTCATACTTATGTAAAGATTTGATATATAAATAATTTCATTATATTATAATATGTTTATTTATCTATTTTATTTTTATTAAAACAAGCTTTCTTGTTTCAATTTATTGAGTGCTTAGTACAATGTTTCATGGTTTAATGAAGACTTGTATATTTTTATTTTAACATGAGCTGTCAATTAAAATGTCAATCAGTTGAAATCATTAATGCTCTAATATTTCCCAAAAATAACTCAGATATTAGAAATATAAAACAGGATTCTTGTTATTGTAATAGATATTATTTCTATCCAATATTTGGTGTAAATGTTATGGGTTGTGAAAAATTGCATTTTAATTTTTGAAGATACTAAGAATCCTGTGTTAATATAAAATCCAAAACCATCAATAATATTAAGGAATTATATAAAATTTTGTTAATAATAAGCATATTTTTCTATTAACATTGATATTTATTGAAACTATATCCTAAAAAAAAAACTTTTAACGGCTGTTATTTTTATGTTCTGCAATATCTGGGATGGAATTAATATTGAAATCGATGTATTAGAGTGACAATATTATGGTACATATTATAATTAATATTAAATGTAATTGTAAATACGCTATATAAGTACAAGTAACGTATACTTAATATTGTTTTATTTTGATGTAAAATTTATTTTCGCCTTTGTGTTGTACTGTTATCTCGTCATTAGTGCCAACACTAGTCTAAAATTGGCGGTTTTAATGATTATATTTATGTTGAAAGCTGTTATTCAGTTTCCTATCTCAGATATCAGAATGTTTTCATTTCGATGGCGGTCTCTGTAAGGTCGTACGCTTTGCTACGCCTAACGCCACAGCATCTATGAGCTTCGTTTTAGGGAGTTAAGGGTAACCGTAAAGCTAGATATTGTATTCTATAGAAAATAATTTCTAAGACGATACTAAGAGTATTGGAAGTGTTACAAATTTGTATCTTATTTTTTTTTTCTCTTCGTAAAATAATAAAATTATAAATGATAGTCGCTAATGTAATTGCCTCTGTGTGTAGCTCGTCTTATGATAGAATATACAATGTATTGCGTTAAATCTTTTCTTAATAAACAAATGTATCCGTTTATTTTAATATATTGTAAAATATGTAGGACTTGGAGTTTAAGACGCAAGAAAATTTCTTGTTAACATAATAACTTGACCTTCCCATGAACTATCTGTCCATTAGCAGACACCAAGGAGCAGCTCGATTGATGGCGTTTTATTAATTTTTAAATAAGATATTGATGTATTAAATGTTTATTATAATGATTTTATAGTCCATAGGCGCTTCGATCTATTTAAAATGGATGTTTCTTACGTTGTATGTTTCTGTCTGTTTCGGAAACGATTTAAAATTATAAGTATACAATCTAGTGACGTTCGCTAGACGTGCCCATGATCTCAGTATTTGTTCCAAGTGCCTTATGAACAAATCGATTCATTCCTACAAACATTCCGGTCTGTCATGTTACGTTCATGTATTACTGATATGATTCATTGTAAGTTATAACTATATAAGTAATAAAATACGTATTATAATATTATATTCAGCATCTACTTAATTAATCTGTGATAGTATAATTTCGTATTACTTTTCATTTAATTTTCACTTTCGATCAAATTATGTTATTTAAAATAAATACAAATTTGTAATAAATTCATCTTCTAACATTTACTATTTTTTCTGTATTTTTTAAAAATAAAAGATCCAACACGCTTTTTGTGTATTATTTATAAAAAGATCAAAAAATTAGTACTGAAATTGAAAGAAAAATGATACAGTTTACACAAAAATAAATGCGTATACAAACTTTTTAGTGTGTGTTCATAGTAGGTGTATCAATGCTGGCTGTATGGAAATGGGTTTTGATAGTTCTTAAAAAGTTTATTTCGAAACCTTCTTTTGTTTTAACCTTTGAAAGTTGTAAATATAGTTGACATAATTTATTGAATTTACATGTATGGTTGGTTTATTGGAAAATACTTTTAAGGAATGGCTCCTATACGATACAGCTTGCACTATGAAGATTATTCCGAACATTTAATGTCTAGATTTGGAAAACTGTTGCAAATGCAATCCTTGGTAGACATGACTCTTATGTGTAGTTCCCATACTTTGCGTGTCCATAAAGCCGTACTGGCAGCGAGTAGTGCATATTTCCAAGTGAGTAAATTTAAATCTGTAAAATGAAAGTTGATCATTGTTTGCACAATGTTTTAACCTACAGTAGATTATTCTTATTAATATATTTTATAGGAAGTGTTACAAAAACAAACGGGGGAACCATTAATAATTTTAAAGATGAGATTCAGTGTGTTAAAGTGTCTAGTTGAGTTTATGTATTGTGGCAAGACTCAATGTTTGGAAGAAAACTTGGACGAGCTGGTATCTGCTGCCCAGTTCCTCAAAATAAAAGGATTGTCAAAAGTCACAAAAGAAGGACTCGGTATAACCAATCACAGTAAGTGTTAAATATTCTACATTTTGACATTACTTAAACAATTTTTATAGGTAGGTATACAAACTATAAAGTAGTCAACACGGGATGATTAAATGTTTAAGGGCTGATAGTTATTATAACACCTATCAAAACTTTAACCGTAATTATCAACAAAATTGTTTTGACAAAAATGGGCTGCCATGTTTTCTTTTCAATTTTAACAGAAAAAGGTTAAGTACTATTTTTAACAACGACAGTTGATTCCACTCATGAAATGACTTGTTTACTATCATATGTTTACTATCATATGGTGGTCATAATATGGACGTACTATTATTATTTAAGTTTCAGCTTCGGACACTATACAATAATTAAAGTGCATCCTACATCGTTTATTCATGAATATAACTATTTTCGAGTTCCGAAATATAATTTTTTAGAGTCAAAGAAAATGATTTTTAAAAATAGTTGCAAATGAAAACATTACTGGGCATCCAAACTAAGTGATGTCTTCCAAATACATTTCTATAAAGTGTTTACGGTGCTTCCATAATGTTTGTAATTTAAGAGTTCCCTCTGCATCCTGAAGTACTTAATAATTGCGGTCTTTTAAAAGTAATTCTAGAGAATAGGGCTTGTGTGGACTAGAACCCACACTATTTTATATAAGATTTTGTGATTGATATAAGTTCTCTAATTTGTTTGGACAGCTCATAAATCACTCGTGTGTTACGTGTTTATTTGTATGGTAAACCCTGACCTCTTAATAAAAATATTACTAAGTGGCCAAGCCTACTTCTTTGTACGCTATGTTAGGTTTATAGAAGATTTTAACTAAATTAAGCATAAGAAAACTAGCATAATGTTAAATGTCCCTTCGTTAAAAGCTATATATTTAAATTTGAATATCCAAGTAGTAGTAGTATTAAATATTTCAAGAGATGTTTTATTTCTAAGCTGAGTTGCCCGTGTTCACTCCGCCCGTGGTCATCAATCGACCTCCACAATCACTAATCGACTTACATACACAGGTAATCATTTTTACATTTTGCAAAACATATTTAGCTTTAACGTAATGTTGCTTTATCCTAACCTAAAGCAATTTATTCACAAATTTATACCATGCATTATTATAAAACATTAATTAGGTACTTTAATAAAATTATTAAGAATGGTTTTGGATAAAAATATTGTGCCCTTCGTAAATTGGACATATAAGGTTCTATAGACAAGTAAAATGGATTAAATTGAAAATTTTAAGGACAATGTGGACCCAAAACCACAAGCGACCCTCTCCACACCCGCCAACCCGCCAGTGGATGCTTTGAACAGAACTAATAAGGTTTATATATATAATTACTGTATTAGCTAGATTGAAAGTAAAGGTAGTATTATTGAATCGACGACAAACACACAAAAAATTAAATACATCAAATTACTTTACCAAACTCATACATGTTTATAGGCTAGTAGAAACATTGATTTGTTTAGTTGCCTAACAATACAGAAAAAAAATCTTTCTAGGATATGGTTGTCCGTATACCATTCGACATAGAAGGTTCAGGCGCGGAGTACAACGACCCTCGAGCACGACCGAGACGAGGCAGACCTAGCTTTAAGGTAACGTAGATAGAATAACGATATAGACTGTCATATGAAAATATAGATAACGATAAACATGATTATACCAAAACTTTAACCCTTTAACAGTCATAAGGAGTGGACAATGGAAAAACAAAAAAAGAAGTCAAAATATATGTATATATAAATATATATTTGTCAAACCTTTCATTGTCAAACTATTGACAATCATAAAATTTGCCTGAATTAAAAAATACGACCGGTGAATATATCGGTTTAAAAAAAATCATGGTGGTGAAAATATCGCCTCTAACTTAGGGTTAAACTATGTAACACAAAACATCATTATTCTAAATAAATAGGTTCATTTTGATTGTAAGTCATGAATGTAAGTGTTAGATGCCGGTTGCCCTTTCCCTATTCCCACTCTTTCCTACCTTATTTCCTTATTCCCACCCCTCCCTATTGTTAAAAAACAAGGTTGGCAACGCATCCGCAACATAGATGTTGCGGATGTCCATGGGCGACGGTAACCACCTTCCATCAAGTGGGTCGTCTGCTCGTTTGCCACCTTTAAAATAAAAATAAAATAAAAAATAGACCCCTGTCTCGTGTATGTATAGCGTCCCCTCTCGTGGGAGAGCGCAGTAGGAGCCGGTGTAGCGAGTGGGGGGGTGATGGGAACAGCCTCGGGCTTGGGGCGGGCCGCGGAGAGGGCGCTGCTACGACGGGAACAGGACTCTAGGAAAGCTATACATCACCTCAAGCATCTACAAAGTAGGCACATGCAGGTAATTACTGTTTATAGATAACTAGTTTTTGCTCGCGACTTTGTCTGTTTTAGTTTTTGTTTTGGAAATGTATAGCTGAACAAATTCTATTCCTCCTTAAAAACAGTAGATGAGAAGATTTTGGATTATATTTACTTTTTTATTCTTTTTCAATCGAATGAAATTATCCTTATTCCTTTGATCTAACCTAGCTCTCCATCAATTTTCAGCCAAACCCGTACAGCCATTCTGAATTATAAATAGTGTAACAAGACTTTCTTTTATGAAGAATTTAGCTGACATGGCTATTAATTTTATTTTTTTTGGTATTACGATGTACAAGATGTCCGTCTAAAATTATTGTTGCAAATTGTAATGCGGTTTGTATTTTCTAGGACTATATGGACAGGGTAACGTTATCACAGGCTGTGAACAGTATCTGTAACGATGGTTCATCCAGCTACCTCAATATGGACAATGATCTTCTATACATGGACCAGACGGTCTCCTCAAACTCCCTCGACCCCACCAACCCGTACTCGAAAGATCATTCTCTGGGAAGCGAAACGATAACTTCAAATTATTCAACCTCAATAACTAGCACGGCCAATACTACGACGAGTAGTGGAATTAACACCGCTATGTCCCAATATGTAAATGCTCTGAAGAATGCTGGCCTACCGACAGATTTACCGATACTGTTTGAATCTGGAGACGGCTCGTACATTAACGTGAACGAACAGGTCCTTCTTGACATGGTGCAGAGTAGCGAAATACAATACGAAGTTATAGAACAACCGAACATAATCGAGAAGGTCGCTGACCCTAGTGAAATCAAAAGCATAGACGATCTGTCGAAGTCCATAGAACGTGGGGAGATGTTGATGGGATCTAAAAACTATACGACAGCCAGTGACTTCGATAAAGAGAGCAGCGTACACGAAGATACAATACACAGCTTAAACGCTATTCTACCTGATAATTTAGAATCGTTTGGAGATCAACAAAATTACGTGGTCCTAGATAAATCACTTCAAGACAGTCGGAACACTATAGATCATGACAGTGCTAATGATTTTTCGTGTATAGAAAACGATATGCAGTTCTTTACTAAATCTATGAGCGATGATGTAAAAAAATATTATGAAGAGCAACAACTGAATGATGCGACCACCTCGCTGGACACTAGCTTTAATATGTCACTCCTCGATACAAAAACATCACATTTGAGCGACAACATGAATCAATCTTACAACTCCTTGAACACCGACGACATGAAGAGAAATGTCGATTGCTACGACTTTAGCTTACAGTTACCACACGCGACAGACTTTAAAGAAGACGCTCTCGACTGTTTGATGTCAACGCCGAGGAGAACGGAAAATCAAGACGGATATATTGATGACACACTTGATAATACGAGAGTTCAAGAGAGAGACGAAATAATAAAAGACTTGATGAACATTGAGAACAAGATAGTTAATGAACAAATCGATAATAAGAGTAACGAGCAGAGCAAGGACACAGCTGACGATGACTTTGGCGCCAGTAACACTATCAAGGACAGCAGTAACTTTCCAGAAGTTTCCACCAATGATCTACACTGGAACTTAAACACAGATTCCAGTAATCACAAGAGTAGCGATTTTATATCATCAGACTTCATGGCGCCATCCACACAAGCATCAGAATCAATAGAAGATTTGGCTGAGTCTCTCGAAACAGACAAATGGGAAATGACGAATGAAGATCAAACAGACAAAAATAATGTAGTTAATAATGATGATACAGAAAAACTTGACACATCAGTGAGTGACAATATACCGTTCGCTGTAGGACTCCTGCCACTGAAACAAATACAGGCGGCAGAAGACGAGAGTTCATTGAAAAGGAAAAGCCTTTACGACCTAGATATGACAGACAATGATGATGCAAAGTGCCTAAAACGGAAATTAAAATATAAAAAGAAATAATTTTTGTACATGTACGACTGTAAGGAAATATATTACTTTAATGATGGATATTTAATTATTGATCCCATAGCATAGTAATCAGTCCGTCAAATAAAATTGCATTGGTCATAAAATTTAAATGCCTAATCAGATTAAAGTTCAATTTAATATACAGGCTTTTTTCAAAGCCTTTTTAATTAATAAAAGAAAACTCGCTATAAAAACAATTTACATTCCAACAATGAGATAAATGAGTGTTAAATTGAGTTTAATAATTACTATTTATTATTAGCCGTAAAACGAGGACTACTAATTTAGGTTCGTTATAAAATATTCAGGGAATATTAATATCAGAAATAGAAAGTAGAAGTATCAAAAATAATGCAAATTAGTTTCGAAAAATTTTATTAAACAATAGTTCTTTACAAAAACTAGTTTTATCGAATCTATTAAGGCCTTACCAACTATTACTTTTCAGATCAGGCACAACATTTAAGTTTAAGAGAATTCTCGTTTAAGAGAATAGTTACATCAAAATTATTTGATTGTTCACTGAAGGACAACACAAACTGACAGTTGCACATTTATATATATATCATGATATACCAGATCTATCTTATCTATATAAAATGGCTCGGATTCAAAGCTTGTCACAACAATCACAAATATAAAGATTAATTTCATTTTTATAAAAAGAAAACTCATGTGACATGATTCTTAATTCCACAAATATACATACTACCATTTAAAATAAAACTTAGAGATTCATTTGTCTTAAGTAGAAGTTACAGTTATTGTCAAAACTACTATAAATATTTTAAACAAATAATATAACTATGTATAAAAATAAAATGAAAGTTGCAAAAAAAATAAAATAAAAAACATAATGGCCGGATCAATATCACAACAAAATGCAATAAAAACAAACAATAATAATACAAGAATAAGTTGTATACATTTAAGACATATAAAAATACTTTTGTAAATGCTCAATATTTAAAGTGTTACTTACAGCTACAGATTGTAACAAGTTAAGAAAAATATATAAAATAGAATCATTTCTACAGAGTATATATGAGAGATATTTAGTTTAGCAGCTGCACTTCTAACATAATATCCATAAGCATCACTGTGGTAGTCGCCCATCTGGAATGTGATCGGAGGAGAGGACATCCTGCCGTCCCCACCGTTGGAGTAAGCCAAGACTCTCAAGTTGTAAGACTTGCCCGGAGTCAAACTATTGACATATGCTTCTAATTTATGTTCCACTGGCACTAGAGTGTCATTAGCTGTGCTCATATCTTGATCAATCTCCCACACTCGCACCTGGAAAAATATATCAAATGAAGAGTATTTAATATTATAAGATTGTGTAAAGTTAACTTTTAAAAGAATGATGAATTTTCTAATGTAAGAAATTTTTTATAATTTGTTTATATTAAATATGTACGTCATTAATAAAAAAGTCAGTGGTGGCCTAGTGGTTAAAAGGGCCGCCTCTCGTTGCCGAGGGCGCGGGTTCGATCCTGGCCCGGGCAAGTACCAATGTGATTTTTCCGAATCATATGTACTTTCTAAGACTATTTAGACATCACTGTTTAATGTTGATTCCCAAAAGAGGGTTGATGTCAGGCAGGCGGCCGGTCGTAAAAACTAATAGCCAAAACTATACACAAAATGTAAAGCAGACCCTGGCTGTAGCTGGGAAATTGCTAGGTAGAAGAAGATGGTAGGTCATTAATAGGAATGGTTATCATACCTTATAGCCTATGAGAGGTTCCTCTTCGTCAGTGGGTTGTACATATCGCCACACAACTCGCACGGTGCTGGGGTTGACGGCCCACACATTCACAGAAGCAGGGGGCTTCTGAGGAGCCTTCCTATATGTACGCTCCAAGTATCGCTCGCTTTCCGGACCTTCGCCAGCTGAATTAAACGCCATTACCTAGAAAAAAATAACATGCTCATATAAAATCTGTTTTAAAAGAATCTACTAAGAACGTATTTCTTATACAAGTTAAAGCTTAATCCAACAATGTACATTATCAAATAACAGAATTCGTTTTGCGAGATTCAATAAAGATATATAAATTATCGTGGTATTAAAAAATACGCTCAGTACTTTTCGCATCTGAAAAAAAGACATTCACTCATCTTAATATAATTTACATTTGTCATATTAATGATACTCAATGAAGAGTGAATACTCACTTTGACGTAATAGTATGTGTCTGGCTGGAGCCCCACAATCAGAGCCCAATTGCGTGTTGTTCTTGATAAATAGTAGATACATTCCTCTTCCTTGTTAGCTTGTTTCCAGTACTTAAGACGATGACCGATTAATTTTCCTCGCAGTCTGTCACGTGACTGGTCGATAGGGTTCCACGTTACATTAAGAGAAGTAGAGTTGAATGATCTTGAATACACTTGCTGAGGGGCGACTTGAGGCATATCTTCAGCAGAATATATAGTGACTACCTCACTCTCGGGACCAGCGCCGATGTTATTGAATGCCTGCACTTTTATATTGTAAGGAGTGAAGAAGTAGTCCAGGGGTATATGTACAACGTGCATTCCTATGTTTCCATATTCTTTAAGTGAAAGTGACTGAAATTCGACTTCTGTGTTATTCCGACGCCAAAATATCTTGTAATAAATGCCCGGACCGTTTTGCAGGGATCTTGGTAGCGGTGTCCACTTGATAGTAAGATCTCCAATTTTTCCACCACCACCTCCAATATTGAAAGGACTGTGATAGGGTTTATCGGCTTGTGTGGAGAATTGAGGACTAGGAGAAGACGGCTCCCCTATACCTAAACTATTGACCGCTTGGACCCTGAACTCATACACAGACCAAGGCATCAAGGTTGTTGTTACGGTGGCTCGTTTACGTCCATTGTATCGGTCTATTTCAAATACATTTGTCACACTCTCGCTCAACACATACCAAGTTGAATTCCACTGCGTACGTCCCGTGACTACGTAATTAGTTATAGGACGTCCATTAGGATTGCTGTCGGTCCATTCCAGTGTAACAGAAGACTGTTGAATATTTGACACCTGTACACCGCCAGGGGGACCAGGCGGACCTTCTATGCGTAATTGTGTACGAGTCGAAATACGACCTATCGCTGATTTAACAATACACTCGTATTCTCCTACATCCGACAAACTCACGTCGAATATCGTTAGTTCACCACCGTCGATTTTAATTCGTTTATCTGCGTACAGATCAGCAGCTTCCTTCATCCTGATACCATTATGGTTCCACAAGTAAGCTGTGTCGAGCATAGAATCAATTTCAGCATTACAATGTAGAAAAATAACTTGTCCGACCTGAGTTGTTATTCTAGGAGGTAACCGTTCAATGAAACGAGGTGCTCTAAGAACAATAAGACGTCCCCGACTCTCATCAGTGCCATACTGATTCTTGGCAACACAAGTGTAAACCCCTTCATCATCTCTAGATAGTTGTCTTATAATAAGATTTCCATTCTCTGTTATAAACCTTTTCCCTCCGGCACCTATAACAATGTTATCTTTCTTCCAAGTGAATGTAGGCTTTGGCGCAGCTTCAGGGTTACACCTGAGAGTCACATTCCCTCCTTCTGATCCATATGTTTCTGACTCCAACGGATGCTTCTTAAATGATGGTTTCAATGACAGCACTCGTAGCTGCCCCGTTGAATACCTCGTTCTTAACTGGTTCCTTGCCTCACACTGGTACATACCCGGATCTCTGGTTGGATCTAAGTATTTTATTATCAATACATTATCTTGTATGATATACCTGTCTCTGTCTTCAGTCTCTAAAGTTTCCATAGAAAGTTTCTGACTATTCTTCCACCATGTGTAATTTACATCAGGGATACCAAAAGCCTCACAATTCCAATGTAGATTTCCCTTATTATCCACATGTTTATCAGTCAAGGGGATGGTGAAGTTAGGCTCAGCTTGCACTTTCAGATACACATTATTTGATATATGAGCCCTATCATTACGAACATCACATATATACTCGCCTTCATCTTCAACCCCTACACTGGGGATGGTTAAGACTCGGTTAAAGTTACTTAAGTATGCTTTCTTAGGAATATCCCCATTTTTCCTTGTCCAATTGTAAGAGGGTACTGGATATCCAAATGAAATACATTCAAACCTGACTTCCTGTCCAACTATCGGAGCCTCTGGGAAGAGTTTTGGGAAATTGTTTGGGAACTTCAACTGCTGGTAGTCTGAATGTGGATAAACAAGAAGTGGAAAGAATGGTCCATTCCTTCCTGCATCTGAAACTTTGCTCATAACATTACAACTGTAGTTTCCTCTATCAATTGTCTCTAACGCAGAGAAGTATAGACCTCCATCATATGAAACGAAGACACGTTTATCTTCCTCAACAAGGTTAGGGAAATAGTTACGAGCCCATAAAAAGTTAACCGAAGGATAGTAAGAGGGTGGATCACAATACATAACCATTCCCCAGTACTGCTTACCACTCTCAACAGGCCGTTTCTGATTGAATTCTCTTATAAATCCAAAAGATAACCTTACCGACTCTGACCTTACTGTACCATATTTGTTTGTAGCCGTGCAGTGATACTTAGCATTATCCTTATCTGCATCGGGATTGTATATCATGAGGGAACCTCCGCTTAGTATAAATCTAGTATCAGACAGAGGATCAATTTCAGTGAATATTGTACTGTCTACTTGATAATCTTCTCGAAACCATTTATATGTAGGTGCTGGATAACCACCAGCTACACATGTTAACTGGACATGTTTATTTCTTAGAGGATCATAAATAGTATCTATTGGTTCTTTGATAAAGTAGGGACCTCTAGGAATCCTTTCTGGATCAAATGTATCCAAGCCATATGTAAATGACCTCTGTTCTTCAATTAGATAGTGCAATCTCTGTGTCTGTCCTTCACATATGAAATGAAAGTATTGTGTTCCTTCAACAGCAGCGAGACCCCAACGGCCATCTTCATGTGAGAATCTATACACTAGGTAATCACGTGGGAGTAAATTGTAACTGGTATATGTCAGTTTTCTATCATCAAAGAAAGCATTTTCCAAACCGGACAGTTGTGACCCATCCGCATCATTCGACCAGTAACCTGGAGATTGCTGATGAGCGCCAATGTACCAAGACCCTTTCTGTGGATCTAGACGCATTAAATTAGTTATTATAAAACCATGTTCTTCTGGGCTGTTGACGGATGCAAGATCTGCTTCGTAAGCTTGACAAATTTTTCTAGCTTCATTTCGGGGCCGGTCTGGGGATTTCGTGAAACGGTAGCATGATTCTCTATAACGAATCCAATTAGGAGGGCACCTATAACGCTCCTCGTAATCCAAGCCGGCGTAATACGTTGCTGTATTCTGAGGGTCTTCACCATCTCCATCACCGTAAACATCTGAGTTTAGGTTGTCTTGATAAAATGAGCTCTGTGCTGTATGTTGTTGGTTAGAGTAATCGTTCCCGTTCACTGGGAAACTTCCATAGGGAATTTGATTTGGCCGATATGCTGTTGTATTCTGACTATCAGATTGATAAGTCTGTTGGTAATTAGGGTTGAAGGGAATATTTGATTCTGACCCTTGACAGTAAACACAACCGAAAAAAGCTAAAACAAAAGGAAAAACCTCCTTCATGTTTAGATCATATACACAATTCTTTCTTCATTAATATGTTTATTTTCGTTAATGTTCTGTTACACTTTACTCAAAGAAAATATAACTTAAAAGAATTATTGTAAAAACACAAGTCCTATATACATTTTTATTTGAAAACGATACGTTAACTGTTTAGAATTCCGATCCGCCTCGCCCAGCCCCAAACATTGTCATTTCGAATAAATAACTTACAATTCACATTCTACTCTATGGTCACTTTATTCATGAGTAAATACAGAATATGTAAATGGTTGTCGTGTTGTCAAATCATAGACAATCATTAAATATTACAAAGTTAATTAAAAAAATATATTGTCAGTACATATTTTAATACTAGCTTTTGCCGCGACTTCGTCCGCGTGGAATAGTGACTTCCGGCAGATTTTTGGCTCTTCCCACATAGTTCCCGTTCTTGCGGGGTTTTCGGAATGGTCGAGTTCCTGTAGAATTTTCAGGATAAAACCTATTTTTTTTTATTCACAATGAAGTACTCTAAATCAACAACATATTTATTTGTTTATTCGAATAAAGATTAATATTATTATGTTGATACAACTTAAACAAATTATTTCGACCAAATTAGGTACCATAAAAACGGATTTTGTGAGTTAATCTTAAAAGATAGACATGTACTGTTGCGGACTGTTTTTTAGATCATTAAAAGAGCTATTATTCTTTAATACATATTTATTGTGTATCTTGTAACCGTTTTCACGGCGCACGAAACGGTAGGCTTCAAAGATGAAATAATTTCTCCCGTTTTTTACACATTTACCACTATATCTTTGCTCCAATTGGTCGTAGTAATGTTATATAGCCCACAGCCTTCCTCGATAACTGGACTATCCAACACAAAAAGAATTATTCAATTCGAACAAGTAGTTTCGGAGATTAGCGCGTTCAAACAAACAAACAAACTCTTCAGCTTTATAATATTAAGTATAGATGTCAGTACATATTTTAATAAGTATTCAAACATTTTCGTCACAAAAAAATTTGATAAATAGTTTGATTTTAAATATTTCAATGCAATTAAAACCAGAAAAATAAATTCAACATTTTGTTAAAAACGATTTTAACATTTTTAGTATGTTCTTTTTTGAAATAATTTATTTAATTTAAGCTAACGCTTGGTTACTATTGCTTAATTACGCAGATTAGTATTTTTTAGGCTCATAGGTTTAATTGAAAATTTTCCAAAAATATTTGATTCAAAAAATAATTGATTTAAAATTTTAATTTATCTGAAATCATTGATTCAAAACTGAATTGGCTTTTTAAATCAATAGTAGTAGACAAGATATTCAACTATAAAAAGTTTTTTTGAAGCGAACGAAATACATCTTTAAGAAAGCTCATTAATAAGCTCATACGACGTTATTCTACTGAGCAGCTCCAGTTTATCCTTATTCTGTGTACGGTTGTAGTGCATCAATTGATAAGCAATAAAAATGAAATTTGTGGTGATGTTTAGTCAGTGTTATTTGAAGCGAGAAGTGTTCTTAAAATTGTACACCATCACATTAAATAAAACAAAACAAATTTTATTGATCACTTTCTTTATTTCCAAGATCATTAACAAGAAATAGTGTGTCAATATTGATAATTAATACTTACACTGTAGGTTACACTTAACAAACAGTATTTTACGCAGTTTTATTTTCAAAGCATACAGTTTGCAATATAGATTCTTCCACGACTTCTATAAATTTCGGACGAACTTCCACATACAAGATTATTCTTCTTATAATATTTCATCACAGATCGATCATGTACTTCTTCGTTCAAATCTCCGTAAAGAATTGATTTAGGGCGGAATAATTTTTGATAATGTAATAAAAAAATTGATATCCACACATTCCACAGTGCTACTTATTTAATACTGTCTGAATATTAGCGTCACTTGACAATATGACATTGCCTTGCCACTTCGTTATTCAGGCAAATTGGAAATAAGTTAAAAAAAAAACATTTGTTTACAATTTATTACATTAAAAGGATATTTTTGTAGATATGCGTAAAAACTATAATTTAATAAATTTTTCTAATACCGTATGGGACTGTATAAATAACAACATAACTTTAAAAAAAATAATAAAGGAATAAATTGTACAATAAAATATTTCAGGCAGACAAATATTGGCAAACATAACAATAAACAAAAAATAATAATTTTAGTCCTATGAGATATATATCTAGTAACTTAGTCTAGCATAATCTCAGGAAAGATGAACAAAGAACTTTATTGAGACAACGTATCAGCGCATTGTACAAGATCGTATGAAAATATACCTTATAGAAATGTATGTAACTCACAGTGGCTTACCGTAGGAAACATTTAGGTAGAGTATAACGAGTATACTAAATATATTTTAAATTCTGGGACGCATTATAAAATTGTATCGCGTACACGTGGACACTTTGTTCACAACAAAATGTTACAACTACAGTGCGCCGTCAGAAAACGTATACTATTGCACACTAATTTCAAGATTATGCTTTACCTTAGATTACATTATGGTAACTATAAATCGTATTTCCTATAATTATTCTATAATTGCCGACATATATTTAACTAACCGTCTAACTTACAAAATTAACACCGTACACCAATGTTAAATAGCACCCATGAAAATTATTATACATTAAAAGCGACATATTATTATTTTTTTTATACAATTGCAATAAAAATAATCTATTTACATTATTTACACTTGTAATGTCCCACAACAATATCTCACTCGTGACACTCCAGAGCTGAACGCGTATTCTCACAAGGCTCTCTTAATTACACTTATATTATTTTGTTCCTAAATGAGATGCATTTTATTTTTTGTTTAAAATAAATCAGTCGTAGTGGATTTTAGATCGCTTCGTTATCCTATACAACATAATCTTAAAATTACTTTACGTAGTTTCGACTCAACAGTCAGAGATCAAAAACTGTGTCAAATCGACTATCATCGAAACGAGAATTCGTTTTCGATATTTTTATATACGGTCGTAAAACCAATCAAATTTATCAACAGTTGTCTGTTAATTACAAAAGTTTTTTCTTTTGAGTTTTGTTTTAATATCCATGAACGTGTTATATATTATATGTCTAATGTCAGCTGACGAGCACGGTTTCTATCTTGAGCAGTTGCCTCAGCTTGTCAGTGACTCGTATTAGCGCGACTTTTGAGGCTCGCACGTTGACCTTCTCCCCCGCACACAGCAGCTGGTGACACTGAGCTCGCTCAAGGAACTCCTGGGTACGAATCTCACGAAGCAACTCCCTCGGAGACCCAGACCCGCAATGGATCTGTTTCAGTAGACTATCCTTTGATTTAATCTGCAAAATACGATACATTGTTAGATACAAGACAATTATGTATGATGAATAGATATAATTGATCAGATCTTATTGGTGGAGATATTACAAAAACTGGTGTTTAATGAGAAAATTCTTATTAATAACCGATATAGCATACAGCGAATGTTCTAGCCAGTTTTTGAACTTTACAAAGTCGGTAATGGATACGTAACACACGTAACCTTTCCCATATAGGGTTGATGTCAGGCAGGCGGCCGGTCGTAACATCAATTAGCCAAAACTATTCACAACATGTAAGGTAGACCCTGGCTATATGGGAAATTGCCAGGAAGAAGAAGGATACGTAACACACGTAAGTCATCGCAACAAAACAGTCACAGATATGTTACAGATGTATCAAGTATGTACCTGTAGTACGTTAGAGATATCCTGCAGCAGACACCAGAGCCCGTCTGCCGGCTGGCCTGTGGCTGTTCGTAAACTGTAGAAGGGTGGTAGAGGAGCCTCCGTACATTGTATCTCGATGGTGGTGTCTTGTGGGGGGGGCGGAGAGGCCGGTGGAGGGGATGACAACGGGTCGCAACCTAACTCCTCACGATCTGTGAAACGAACAAATTATATATGATCATATTACTCTAGTAACTAAATGAGATACGTTTTGATAATTTGATGAGTTTAGTTTATTTTAAATTTATACTGGATAGTACTTGTTAATACAAAAGGTAGATGAAGAAATTAATTTATATAATAAGTAATTTCGCCATTAATTCGCTGTATGAGAACCTACAATGAAATTGATTACCATGTCGTCGACATATACAGCCTAAGTAGTGATAGTTTTAAAAAATAATAAATACCGTTTTAGTTAGTAAATAATATTTAAAATGTTTGTTATCTATATTGTATTGATATTATTGTTGTTTTTTTTTTCTTGTTTTGTTTGTTTAAAATTAAACTTTGTTTAAAATTTATTCTTACAGATTCTATTAAATGTTTGAGTGTAGTGTTTAGTTTCCCTTGTTAACATGTAAGTAGTAAAATGTAAATACCTGTAATGGTGTATCAGACTGTACAAGTTTTTTTTAAATATTTTTTTCCACATATGGTTTGTGAATATGCCGATGGTAAGTCCAAAATAAATAAATAAATAAGAATGTACTATCTCAGTAACAGATTTTCACTAAAATGTTTCAATTTATTATTGTGCTCATGTGGAAGGAAGCGTGTATCTTCGCCCGGATGTGTTCGAGTAATGAGTGTTACCTATGATTGCTGCGGGCGTCGGAAACTTCCACGGCTCGATGGCCCGTCCTTGAACATCGGCTATATAAAGATGTAACAGTTTGGCTGACTGTCCTTCCGCTAGCTCTTCCGGAGTTTGTCCCGCATATGTTCCTAGTAATGGATCGGCGCCGTACGATAGTAGCAATCTTATAATTTCAACATGGCTATTCTCGCACGCTTCGTGTAACGGTCTGTAATATTAAATGATATCTCCTTTTAGTAACAGCACACATATGTTGAGAGAGGTTTTTAAAGTTATTCTAAGGATTTTTAATAGTAATGCAAATTTATTTTACCTTATTCCGCCCTGTGCTGCGGCCGAAACGTTGGCACCGTATTGTAAGAGTAACCTGGCTATTCTAACGTGACCTCTAGCTGAAGCCACATGTAAAGGCGTGAATCCTGCATTGTCTTTCGCTGATGGGTTCAAATCCATTTTCTCTAAGCAATACGCTACACAGTCCTGCAAGAAAATGATTGTTAATTTTCATTTATATTTCATTTCGGCTACATTTTATATCTGCAATAATAAGATACCATACTCACGGTAAAACCGAGTCTCGCGGCGCGATGTAAATGGGTTTCTCCGATACTTTTGTTGATAAACCAACTTTTTATTTCTTTTTGAATGTCATGAACGGACTCTGGACTAGGTTTAGGTGCAGCTCGACGTATCTTTGGAGCATTATCTTCGCGTCTTATTATCTTCTTCTTCTTTCTGATGTAATCAAAACCAGAACTGAATTTTCTCCTGCCAAAGAGACGTTTCAGTCGTCTTTTAGTAGTGTTCTCGGTCGCAATCGGTAAGGTAGTTTCTTCTTTGCTATTATCTTTTTCATCGGTTGTAGAGCTTACATCTTTTTTTAATTTATTAGTCATGTCTTTTCTTCGTTTATGAGCAAAATTTTTCATTAAACTGTTTCTTTTCTTCAAACGCATGAGTCTTCCTTTAGCATCATTTGTTTTCAAAGATTTTGTGCTCCTCAATCCATCTCTAATTGAACTAGATCGCCGCTTCATCTTGTCCTTTACTTTCTTCGGTTTTATATTGTTCTTAGTATCTGGTTCTTTTTTAATAACGACACTCGGTTCCTCCTCCTTTTCAAGTGCCAATTCTTCCCTACATGACGTCGGAGGAGCTGAAGCTGGTCTATCATCACCGAAAATTTCTTTAATAGTAGCTCGTTGCTTCAATACTCTACTCTCAGTACGTGTTCTTGACTTCAAAACAACCGGAGCAAATTCTTCCGTAGCACCGATAAGCCCGTCAGTCTCTTTAATAAATGCTGTCCTAAACATACTGACAGTTTCTTTTCTGAAAGCACCTAAGTAAAAAATATCCTCCATAAACTTTTCTTTCTTTGCGCTCAAATTACCCTTATTTCCATTTTTTAAAAGTCCTAAGCTTGGCGTTGGTAAAAGTTCTGCAGCATTGGAAGATTTTGCCATAACTTTCGGTGTTTTGTCATCTTTATCCTTATTCTTTTTTTTAGATTCTTCTCTTTTACCACATTTTTGTATTAGAACGTCGACTATAGAGCTTCTGTTTTTATTAGCTTTCGTTGCAGAAAAAACTGTTGAGGTTGAGGCTTCTGAATCATACTGTAATTTATTAAAAGCTGAACAGCTTGAATTGGAATCAAGGTCACTGTCCAAGTTGAGTTTATCTGGTCTCCTATATAATTCATCAGTTGCGGCGGATGGTGCCGATGACGGGGCTGGAGATAGAGGAACGGGATCTAAATCAGGGAGAGACGTGGAACCACGTTGAAATTGTGACATACATCCTTTAGCAAACGGTCCACCAGAACGCCCTCTTGGTATAGCAATGAGTCTCGTAGGCATGCGAAGAGATCTCTTATATCTATATAATTCTTCCTCCCAACCCGGATGAAAATCAGAACCGTCACCAAAACCAGGCTTACGCATTGGTGAACTATGGGCACTGGAACTATCGAACTTTTTGGTAGGTGTAGATTTGACACATAATTTTTGTGTAGTTGTGCTTGTTTTACCTTCATCAGTCTTACCATTTTTTCGGACTCTTAATCTATTTGCTACACTTAAAGTATCGTCACTATCCGAGCTATAATCGTCGCAGACTTTCATTTTCTTCGTATTTTCAGACGATTTCCCTTTGTATTTTGTTTGACGTGTTTTCTTAGCTTTATTTACTTTTTCTTCTTTAGGTGTGGTGTCTATAGAATTTTTTGCACTTGTCATTTGATCATCACAGCATTCTAGTTTGACATATGCAGATTTTTCAGATAAGTCTTTTAATAATTGGTAGTTTAAGTTATCACTTTGTTCCAGTTGTTTTTGTTTGAATATTTTGCTCTTAATTAGAGGTTCATCATCATCAGTAGACTCTAACTCCTCTTTAATAACGGTCTTCATTACTACTTCATCTTCCGCTTCTTTTTTTACTAAGGCGCTATTCGAAGAACAATTGCCATCATTCAGAGATTTATTTTTAGCCTTTTGATTAGATCTTGACTTAAGTGGTTTATCGTCTTTATCGATCTTTTTCAAGTTTTTGCTTTTTTCTGGTTTACTCTTTTGTTTGTTTTTTAGTGAAGAGTCATTTTTATTTGACTGTTCAATTTCTAACTTCAGTTCCTCTTCATCAACTGGTTCTTTTTTAATTTGAATGACAGTTGATTCTGTAAAAGAGGCTCTTTTTTCAGATTCAGTTGGATAGAGAGACGAACCAAAAGTCTCATCATCTTCTAGATGATCAGTTTTATTTTCACTCAGAGGTTCTAAGGTACTATTACGTTTCCTTATTAACTTTTTCTTGTGACAACCAACTTTTAATTGTTCCATAAAATTATCGCAAGCATTAGCCCAATCCATGTCTACTTCTTCCACAGGAATATCAGTTTTTGCTTGAAATATACCAGAGTTTATTATTGGTTCATTAGTTTCAGATTTGATATGTAGCATAGCATCTTTTTCAATTTCATCAATATTCATAGGCTCAGATTTCACTTCTGGAGCTGAGTCACTTGGCTTTTCATTTTTAATAACAGATTCCAATCGTAAATTATCTTCTCGTATTTGGTTAAAAAGATGTTGTTTTTGTGATTTAGGCAGAGGCTTACATTTTTCATGTTTGGAAAGTAATAGATCTTCTTTCATTTCCATTTTAGAAGAACTATCGTGACTTGGGGGCATAACTTTAAGTTCCGCCTTAGTCCTTATTCTAGCAACATCATTCTCCGGTGAATGTGTTTTTGCATCACGACTTTCAAACCGCTGATAGTCTGAATCTCTTGGCAATGAATCCACTGCTTTAGGCATTTTTATGTGATAGTCTAAACTAGCACCTGACTGGCATGCAATATTTAAATGACTCGAGTTCGTTGCTATATCGCCATCAACCTCTTTAGTCAAATCAGTAACTTCTATTACTGAATCGTCAACATCGTCAATAACAATGAGATCAGGAATGCCTTTTGTTGATTTACATGTTTCTGAGACTCCAGTTTGTTTGGTTTCTAAGCTATTCCTTAATATGCTCAAGACTTTCTTTTTATCTGGCGCATGTATATTATTATGATTTACGTGGGGGTGGAAATCTCTATGCGTTTGACTGGGAATCTTCTGAATAATATGACGATTATTTGGCATCCTTTCGTGATAGTGAGTATGGTAATCATTAGCCTCCCTGTTACCAGATTCAGGATACATATTCATAGGATAGTGGTGAACGGAATGTTGTTCACGGTACACGTTGGATGTTATTGATCTTTTATGATCACTTTGATATGCTTCAAATTTTTTATGACTAGTATAGCTGTACACTGGTCGACTCATAAGCTCATGCTGTTCGCGAGCTGATTGACTCATTCGCTCCATGCGATCAGACTGAGGCCAAGCCTCATATCGAACGGTTTTTTCGGGAATGTTACTAACGATAGGTCCAGTTGGTCTTTTTCTTTCTTCTATGATCAAATGTCTATCATCACGCATACGACTCTCGTTATATCGATCCTCACCATTTGGCCTCGTAAGATCTATGCGTGGAACATAATCAGGTCTACCTATTGAACCGTTATATTTAATACGATCAGCGTACACTTGGTGCCGAGGTTCTACGGGGTAAGCGGGCTGAGGTGAATCATTTGCACCGTTGTAACGCATTTGAGGAGGAACATTTGGCAGTGAATTATATCCCTGACTTGTTGTTCTTTCCCTATATTGAGCAAAATCAGGTGAAAAATCTACTTTATGTGATGCTATATAACCAACTGAACCATTTCTTGTACTTGATGTTGGTCTACTTTGCAATGCAAGATTATCATTTTTTAGTGAAACCGAATCAATTGCATCATCTTGGGTGGTCGAAGAATCCGCCGAATTTTTGACCGTTTTTACCGATAAATCTAAAGGTGATTCTCGTTTCTGTTTAGTTTGGTTCATTTGATTTACTATAGATGTAACTGACACTGTCATTCGGGCCTGTTGACTAGGGTAACCAGGTTTAGCGGTAGAGCGGGATGGAGATATTTGAACATGATTAGATGTTGCAAAATCATAGTTCGTCTTTGGAGCCACTGCGTTGCGATATGACGATCTAGATTGCACCGTCGAGTTATTTTGAACTGGTGGAATATTTCCATTCTGTGCATATCTTACTGACGAAGCAGAGGACGTCGATGCTGCAGCATAGGGATAGTTACTTCTCTCCACAGATCTACTTTTTCCTACGTAATCAATGCGCGGCGGGAGTCTAGCAATATCATGACTTTGCATTTGTGATGTTCCCTGAACCCGATCATGAGGACGAATAGCGTAATGTGGACTGACCACATCAACGGGAGTGTGTTTATATTGTACTTGGTGATGTGATTCCACTCTATTATTTGGAATATGTTGTGGCCCAGCAGACGTGGGTCGATATCCAGAGTATACTTGTTGTGGATCATATTTTCGTTGCGGCAAAACCGCTTGCCTTTCATATTGTGATGATGGTCGAACACATGACGCGGTTTCTCGTCGTTGTGGTAAGGATGAATATACTTGCGCCGCCCGACTTTCCAGCGGAGTAAGTCTTTTTGTAGATGGTAAATGTGGATGATGAATCGGTGGTACCCTGTCGTTATGTGGAGTTGCGACTTGTGTTGGTACATTATAGCGCTGTACTTGTAGATGATGTGCAGAAGATTCAGTCAAACGGTTTACAGCGTGCTGAGGCGTTTTATTTGATATCCTTGCATATGTTTGAGGACTCTGTCGGGGGGCTGTAGCCTGAGGGACGGCGATTGGTGGCCCATGTGAATTTCTTCCACTCTCAACTACACTTGACTCGTACTGATAACGTGTGTAAGTTTCTGAAGGATGCGATATAGAATGGTGGTCTGCAGGACGACTATTCGCAAATTCGGCGGGTCTACCAATGGGCGTTTGGACCCTGTGGTTAGACGCTCGATATTGAGTGGATGGATCTGCTTGTTCTGCTGCCGGCGTGGACAAGTGGGACACGGCGGAAGGTGGACGAACTGGGGACGGACTGGGCACCGCCGAAGCCGGTGCCGGTGATGGCAAGGTGTGAGTAGAAGGCTTCCGTATTATATGCGAAGGTGGTGACAATCCTCCGACGTTCTCCTCCTCATCCTCTATCTCGTTTCGCTCTCTTCGTTTTTCTGCTGCTTCACGCATAACTGTAGCTTTGTGAATGATATGTGGTTCTGGTTCAAGTGGCTCCGATGGTGGTCGTGGGGGCACAGCGATTATCGTGGGCGCAGCCGTTAATGGCGGTGCAGCGGCAGCGGAAGGTGGCCGTGAACTTGGAGTCGGAGCCCCCGAAAGCGCAGGGGTTCCTTCCTCGGTTGATGCTCCCGAAGGCCACATTTGTTGACCGGTACTCTCTTGTGCCGGCTTTGGTAATCCCATAAAGTATTGGCGCACTGTCCCTTCCAGCACATTGTTAAAACTGACATCCATACTATGCAGCCCCCGGTCTGAATCCACCACCTAGAAATAAAAATGAGCTGCTTGAATAAATTACGAAATAAAAATTAAATACGAATGTGTACGAAATTAAAATTAATTACGAAAGTGTAGGTTTTATTTCAAATATTTACATGATTTTCTAACACTTAACAATTATCATTGAATCATATAAGGATGAAACTCATTTAAACTGATAGACTGATCAAAACCTGAAGATAAAACTGATTTAAAAATTGCATATGTTTTACAATTAGTACCAAATATATGAACATCAATATTCACTTGATTAAATTACTATGTTTTCATTGAAGAAATATGTATTCTCTGTTGAAGGTTCATTACGAGGACATTAACCGCGGCTTGCCCTTGAGCGTTTCTCGCCCTCTCAAAAAATTCACACACGCACACACCACAGACATACCATGAACACAGAAACTTATTTAACTAAGACATGCAATATATATACGATATATCATATTGATTGAACACAAATGATTTGTTTCTGATTGCTATTAATATTAATAACATTTACCGAATGGAATACAATAATAACAAAAATATAAATTAACTAAGTTTGCTAAAAAAATCTTTAAATTTTGTAAATTAAAGTGTTATAAATCGTGTACGTTCTATTAAGTTTACATAGGGGTTAGGGGATAATCCTAAAATTGATTGTTTTAATATAGTTTCCCCCACATCGTAATCAAACATGAACCGGAAAACTACTGACAAATATTTATGCTTTGGAGTTGAATGACCTCATTTAGAGAATAAATAATGTTGAAATTAACTTCGTACATGTTGTTACTGACACAGTAAAGATCAAAAGTAATAAAGGGATACACATAATTTTGTTTCTTTTTCTTACTAATGATTTCAAAGTCAAAATTATCTTTTGTAAAAACCGCTCCTAAAATAACACGATCATAAGCGAAAGTAATGATTCATTTTATAGACAAATATGAATTGTTAATATCGTGTTATTACCGGCCGACAGCAGATAATATTGAAACAGCGATTCCCAGATCAAACCACGAGAAGGCGGTCGCCCTGACTACCGAATCGATTGCGTGCCCTGACGCTACCTATACATTTCACGAGTACTCATACAGCACCCTGTACATATATGATTATAGCTCACCGACATCATACATTCATGTACCTTTACATATATTATTAAAGTCCCTTAATAAACTCCTAATCGAGTATCTAACAAGAACTGCCTATGAGAACTGCTTGTTTAAATTTTATGAGTTATTTGCAGATACGACTGTTCAATAAACCAGAATATTGAACTTAATGGTATAAACAGTCGGCCAATGACGTAGCCTATAATATATTTAGTATTTACAGGCTACATTACCGCCAATTGACGAACGTAACTTGTTTGACGTAAATTGTTTAAGAGTACTAGATACATGTTTTAACATATTAAAATATGTGTTAATTAACAGGTAAACAAAATCCCCAATCTAAATGTTGTGTTGTGTTAGTTAGAGCAAAAATAGTGCTATATTAATGAGGAACAAATATGTAGACAGAATTTTTCAAGACCACCGCGACCACTATTAAGTTTTTATTAAAAAGTATTGTTCAATTTAAATCCCTACTCATATTATAAATGCGAAAGTAACTCTGTCTGTCTGTCTGTTACGCTTTCACGGTTAAACCACTGAACTGATTTTAATGAAATTTGGTAGAGATATAGAGTTGACCTTGAGAAAGAACGTAGGATAGTTTTTATCCCAGACTTTTGAAAGGTTCCCTTGGAAAATGGAAACGCGATATAACCGAACTCCACGCGGGCGAAGTGCGGGCGGAAAGCTAGTATAACATACAAATACAATTTTTAAGTCATTTATTACCGACATATTACAGTTATTAATTAATAAACAGAATTCCAATTAGAGAGGAATTAAAATGTATATAGATTTAAAACGTGCACTTTGAAAATATATAAAAAAGTGATAAATAAAAAAGCGATCTTTCTTGAACAACTACATTACTACTTTCTTGTCATGGTAGCACGATTGAGACATCCCCTTGCCAACAAAAATACAATCATCAAAATTCGTTTATAAAGAACGTCGAACTGAGTAGCCTTCTTCATTTAAGTGGTTTAAAAATTCCCAAATTAAATGGTTAAAATTCTGTTAGGGGGCCTATTTACACGCTCGGAAATACATTGCTAAAACTAGTTACGCCACTGTACGGTGCACCCATATAACTTAATAAACACAAGAAATTCCAATATGCAGTTATAAGGTTTTGGGTAACTTGTAGATATCATATTCAGTACATGCAATGAGGGAATTTAATAGACTTGTGTTCGGGATAATTATTTGAGAGTAAGTATTTTTTTTATTTATGGTACATGTATGTATTGAATCGTTTTCTTGGTAAATAAGTCAATTTATAATTTATATATTTAAATTTATAAACAGAGCAGATGAAGTAAATAACCACTAGGCATATTTTTATTTTTGTCTGATATTAAATATAAATTATGTTGTATAATATTATTTTTATATAATGTCAGGTATTAAGTTACCTTACACCATACGAAAAACCAACATTAAAATGTCGCAAAGATATGAATTATACCTTAAGTTTAAATAATAAACATTTTCTTTAAGAATGTTAGTTTTGTTTCATACTACTTTTTTCTTGCGACTTTTTTGCTTGAATTTTTGAATTGGTCTTTGAGAGTTAAGTATGAAGTTTATTAAAAGCACAAAAATGTTAAAGCTGTTAAGTAACTGAACTACAAGTAATTTGTGGATAAATTATAGCCTACACTTTATTCTGACATCTAAGCTACATTACTGTGAATTTTCACTAAAATCTGTTAGTTTTTGCATGACACAGCAAGTAGCATCCATAAACACAATCGCACATACATATATCTTCACAAATTTGTGCATCTTGTTTTTTCTTACGACTTTGTTCATATAAAATTGGTTCATTGACCATAAATATTATTGATACAATTATATGTCTTCTTAAGTCATTATTATATTAAAAAAATATTTTTTCTTATACATAACTTGAATTACCGAAACCGGAATGAAATATGCAAATTGGTTTCATAGATATAAATTAAAATGGCTTCTTATTGTTATAACTTTAATTGCTTGTAAATGTGTGGATAAAATTATGTTATATCTTATGTACTTACATATATATACAACAGCACAATTAATGGACAATTTGCAATAATTATATGTAAGTAGAAAGTTGCTTATACATATTAATAATTGTTTATGTATACAGACACGTGAACAATATAGTTTATGTATTCATGTGTATATTATCTTATACATATTTCTGTTTTTATCATTCACGTGTCTCTTTAAAATTTATCGTTATAACACTAAAAATAACTATTTAACATTTTTGTTTTGAAATACGAGATTAAAAAACTTTAATAAAATGGTGATTTAACAAAAGTATTCGATTATTATAATTTTATAAATAAATATTATTTGTTTTTTCGCTAATAACGCGTAATAAAAACGTCGGGAGTATTTAATTATTTATTTATTTATTCTTTATTGCACCCAATTCTAAAACTAAAAAATAACATTTTCGTTAAATATTAACAAGTATGTAGTTATAATATTTAAAAACGAAATATTCGTATCATTTAAATGAATACTCGAGAGTCTTAGACCTCAATACATATGTATAGATGTATATTTGTAAGAGAAAATCTTATATGTACAAACAGAGTAACATTAAGTATGTTTTAATATATATTTATACAGGGTGACTGGTGAATTACTATCGATATTTGAGGACGTGATATTTGACGATCATATATGACAAAATAAAAATTAATATAACATAAATATTAATAAACTTCTAAGTAAAGTTAACCAAAAGTTATGTAATTAATTACGCATCGTATGAACACCCTACAGATTAGGTATACACACACACTCACACAGACGCGGCGGCGGCGTAGTGTTGTATCAGCACGCCGCCGCACGCGTCCACACATGGAACACTTGGAACGTGTCAACACTTTATTTATTTATACGGAAATTTGGTCAAAAATTAAGTGCCTATTTTTTTTACATAATTCGAATGAGAATCATGTACCGAGTATTCTCCTTAAATATTGATAGTAATTCACCAGTCACCCTGTATACATGTATATTCACCTTGTGATGTCAGTTATCCTCCTTGAAGGTTCCGACTTCCACTCATCTCTCCTGTCTTCTGTCTTGTGTTATCTGAAACAATTAATAATAAAAAATCAATCAACAGGGAAGGTATAAGGCATAGTCAAAGCAGAAAGCAATGTTACGTTCATTTCAAATAATTTAATATGTTTTTTGTAAATTATACAATGATATTTAAATGTTTTTAATTAAATGGCGGTGTATTTTGAATACCTAATAAATATATATTTATTTTTTTATATATATCATTTTTATTATAAAATCATTACGTTAACTTATAAATTTGCAAGAGTATATTATTGGAAGTTTTAAATTAATGAATAAATCGATTTTACTTGTTTACAGTAAATAAAATGTATGTACATATTGTCTGTTTCCATTAATATCAAATGTATCCACATTTATACCTTATGTATGGACATTGACCCAGATAGGTGTATACAATACATCACGTGGAATGACTTTTAAAACAGTTTTGTTTAAACCCGTGTGCTCGAATAACAGTTTAAAATAAGCATTTACTTTACTATAATATATAAAATAATTTTTAAATATATTTTATTTGTAAAGTCGATGTATTTGGGTGTTTCACACATACACAGCGTTTCATTGTGTGCGTGTTCTATTAATACGCGTTACAGCTGTGCCAGGTCATTCCCCCGCGAAACAAGGTGAATCGTAAAACAGTTTTTTTTTTGTATGTCTTAAAGAAATGCGACTGCATTCCAATAAGCGTATTATATACATTATTTATAACTACAGGCTTTAATAAGTAATATGAGATATCATTTTAATTATATTAAAAAATCCATTTTTTATTATTTTTAGTGACACGTCGTTAAAAAGCGCGCAATTCATTGATCTCCTTATATGATATGTTCCATTGATATCTTTTTATTTCTATAATAGCGACGCAATCGAGTCGTTTGCACCAGTGCTATAAAAACTATTTTTTATTTATTTATATCAGAAAACGTAAAAAATAAATTTAAATTTGCCTATAACTAATAAATACAACTACATTTTACTAATATTGTATACACTTATAGGTAAAAATCAGTTATATGTAAAAAACAAGTTTCATTACAACTTCTAGTATAAATACTCTTTCGTCGCCAAAAAACCCAGACAATTATAAACACAAATAGATCGTAGGGACACTATCAAATAAATAATTTGGCTGTGATTTCGATCCGATGGCGGACGCTCGAGCGATATACGATAACTACTTATAGAAGAAAATAATATTAATAAAAACATATACATATGTATTAAGATGACACTTAATTAAATATTACGACTTGTGAAATCAATAATAGTATAGAAAAAGATTTACGTTACATCTATTTCAAAAATCAAGTAATCTAAGAGTTTCACATACATTCATTAGAATTTTATTTTAATCATATATGTATAAATTGATTTTAATTGTAATAATTTAGAATATACCTATTTATTGTTGTGTATCTAGTAACTTAATTAAAATTAAATACAGAGAAATACATATAAATATTTATGTATTTATGTCTCTATATAAATACAATAATGTGTAAAGCTTTTAAGAAATTTATTGTGGAATGTAAACATTTGTTCGCGACACAGTTTCAAATAGTTTGTGAAACACAATTTCATAGCACATTAATCTTAGCGCCCTTGTGCGATAATTTTATTATAATTTAAACAGCTCTGTAAACTGGGGGTTCAAACGAAGAGAGAGAGTTCGATTGAGTCTCATTTTAAGGTTTGTAGTGAATTATATATATTAAAAGTAATACAAAATTGATTTTCTTAGAAGAATGTTATACTATCATCATTCAGTTTTTATATACGTGTTTTTCTACATATATTTATTATTATTTAAATTAATATTTTCATGGCAAAATAAACGAAATTAATAGCAACATGTTTGTATCCATATTTTGTTTCCGTAAAGCATCAATTTCACAATTTATATTTCAAAAACATACTTTTTCTTATACAACTTACAATTTAGCAGAATTGGATTTAACAGTTTCTCATTAAAACTTGTTTATATACGTATTACAAAAATTAACCTTCTTTTTTCTTAGTCGCAGTCGGGTAAAAAATAGCCTTGACGTCATAAAGAATACTAAAGGCCAATTAAATTATCGGTGGTCGCTTCCTGATAAGTCTCAAATATATAAAAATAACAAGTTTAATATATATGAACTACATTCAATGACTGTTTACATTTTATAGATTTATTTAGGAAAAAGATTTATCGGAAAATGTACATAAACTAACAAAAAAATATTTTTCTTAAGCTTCACATGTTAAAAATTAATTTTAAATTGATGAATTGTACAAGAAATTATTAAAATTTTCACTAATAAATACATATTTAGTACCCACATATTTTTGTTTTAACCAGTTGAAAAAATAAAAAGCGTTGGCTTTATCATAATTAATATCATACCTATAAATATACATAAAAATTATATAAATTACAACATAGCACTATAATTATAATTTTTGTACTCATTATTCAACTAATTTAAAAAGAAACAAAGTAATTAAATCGTGATTCATACTAGCGTAGAAACTAACGCCATCTATGTTTTGCATGTGGAACTAAACAAGAATGGGTAAACGACAAATTATGTTTGACAATAATTAATAAACTATCAAAGATGTAATAAGGAATTTAAACGTGAATGCTCGTAGTCGCCTGTGGCACACATATCGCTAGTTCTATTTTTCGAACTATCGCTGTCTATAATTAGATCCGCATTGTTTTGACTCAGTACTTCCCGTAGCATCATTGATAACGCTATTGTCTTTTGGCAAATAGATTTGTCGAATTCCGTAGTGTTTTGTATAGATTGTGCGGCTTACAGATAAATTTCTTTGATAATAAAAATATAAACAGTGTTACTGACCTTACTAGCACGACTTTATCGCAGTTTCGCTAAGTTATCTTATTTATAATGATAATTCATTATACATGTTCATAATACTTACTGGAGATTTTAATTTCAGTTCTATATGAAGGTGATACTTATTTTATTACTATTATTATATTTCACTGTTAGCAACTTCATACCAATAATTGGCATTAGTTATTTAATGTCATGAAAGGTTCGTGTTTGCTTTATTTAAAGCCATTTTTATATTAGAGATATACTTAATACTTATCAATAAAATTTCATCTACATGTATGAACAGCTATATCAAGTAGTAGATTCCTAATTTCATTAGTACTAGAGATTACATTAGAAAATAGTATAAGAACAAATTGTAACTGCAGATTCTCAATATTTATATTTCAAATTACTAAAGAAGACAACTGTGTAAGTATTTTGAAATAGAATACATACATATGTATTTAACCAGATTTTTTTAAATAAAATACAAAATAGCATTCGACTATCTGTTAACCAATTCGTACATATCAAATAATATTTAAAAAGCATTTTAAACGTCATAAATTTTCCTAGAGGCCAGCATTAAGGACTCGACATCTGTGTAAACGCAAATAGGTCGAGATAAAATACCTGATTCTATATTAAGAGACAACTAGCTCTATCCGTTTGGAATTCATCCAACGTATATAATAACATTGTGTTTGTGACCGTTTCTATGTTTACATTGTGATTTGTAATAAAAAATATATTTGTATAAAATTTATTGACCAACAATTGCCAAAGCGGTGGCAATGACAATTTGATTTCGCGCCATTTTATGCGCGGTAAATGCTACGTCATTTGGTGGGTTCT